ACTCACCTTCGTGTGTACCGTGTGGGTGGGACATTGGATTAAACTCCTAACTCCATTATCTAAATTCGTCAGTTTTAAAGAAAAGGGAAAAGTAATAAAATAAGTTACGAGTTGTGCAATAATGAAAATTACGCTCTGCAATCACTTTGTAAATTTGGAGGAAAGTTGTCAAAACGAGCCATTGAAAGGAAACGAATTCTATCAATGAGGGAGACCTCATTATGCACTGCCAGGCAAAATCGCACGAATGTATTTACAATTTGTAGCTACACTGGGTCGGTATCGGTCACAGCACATAATTCTGTAACTATTTTAAAGAGCGTTAACTTCGGACACTTGTTTGGTGGAAATAAGGACAAGTTCGTTTCTCGGGAACACTAAAATCGAAGTAATGTTACAATGCGGCGGAACTAAAAAGGAGTGTCGGTTAGCTTGGCACTGAATTACACGTGGTCCTTTTATCGCAATCCAGCCAAGTAGTTAACTAATAACCCATGTACAAGAAGGAAGGGAGGAACAAGTCAGGAGTTTTTAAACCTTAGTATCCGTCATCGGATAATTGCATGCAAAAGATAAACGTTTCTCAGTCTGCACAACCTTTCCACAACAACTACTCGGCTGTGGGTAGACATTTTCATAACAAATCATTCAAGCTTTCTTGAGAATATGCCTCCCAAAAGTGAGGGGCCCATAAGTGGTCGGGACATTACCGTGATTAAGTATTTTTGACCGCGTATTCTTGTATGACACCTCCTCTAATTGCGAGAACTCGATCTTGTAAAGCAGACAAAGGAAGTGAGGTGGAAGAGAGCACAATGGGATTTTAACCAGTCAGTCGGCGTGCACAAACTTGTGCTTCATTGCGAACCCACTACTTACGATTGACATCCCGATAGCTTTTAGTCAACCGTCAAAAACCCTTTGTTAGGATCGCAAAACTTCCCTCAGTAAACACAAGGCATCCGCCACATTCACCGATTTTGACTAAAATATTGCTTGAAGTTTTTCTATTAATCAAGGCTTTGACGAGGACAGGTTTAATTTAAATACGATGAAGGCCTTCATTAAGAGCCTAACTACTTCAGGCAAATTTGGGTGGTGAAGCTTCGCAATGAAGCTAATATTGTTATTAATGCCTGACTGCCATTAATCCGCCTTACATCACAGCTCAGAGCAGTAAACAGATTTATGTGATGTCTTTCATGCGTAGGCATCAACACATTATCACCGGCGACTCTACCTGTTATGGCGTCTAAAGTGATGTTCCCCAGAATTTATCACAGCGCTATCAAAAGCGTTTTATAACCATAAAAAGTCCAAACAATATCGCTCTAGTGTCAGCTAAATGTACGTTAACAAAAGGGAAAGTGCCCACCCGCTTATGGCCCACACTATTCTTGGATGAACGCATTTAAAGGGAACATATTTGAATTTTGTGGTAGCTCATATCGTTTCGCATTGAAGCAGAGATTTGGATTAAGAAATCGTCCTCTTCGTGGTCTTTAAAGCGATCATTGTAGTTGATTTCTCAGAGTAGCGTGGAGTGCAATGATTTCTTTGAGCTTGCCTCCCATTAAGGCATTTGCTCTTGCACCTCTAAATAGAACTCTTTTGCTACATTCGGATTTCAAATTTATTTTAACTTTAGGATTTGATTACTTCATGGACAATAAACACTTATGCTGCGAATTGTACGAGAACTCATGATGTATTGTGGCCTCAGCAAACGTTTTTTATTTTCGAACACCTGATAAGGGATATTTTAGCATCGCTTATGGGCGAATTGGTACCGCACTTTAAATGAACTACAAGGATGTCGGAGCCAACTGAAATGCTTATCATTTCGCAATTTCCCCCTACCAAATCCCATAATGAAAGTAATGACCTACCAATTACTTTTATTCATTGTCTCAGTAGATGCTTAACTTGGTGCATCGCTATTACTCAGATAGAGGTAGCAGAATCCGTTGGGCGTTTTTATACGTGGCGGCCAAAATTTAGCACTTTCCTTGATATATGATAAATCAAGTCTTACACCCACTTTTTAGGGATCGCGATCAAGCCTGGTTATGCTAATTGATACACAATGCTTATGCGTGTCTGTTTATGTGGTCCCCAAATGCAAACACGAAAATATGCATTAGACTTGGGTGTAAACGTAGACAGGTTAGGATTCTAGGCTTATTATTGCACTTGCAATGTCAATGCGTTTTTCCTCGATTTCGCCACTGGAACGGAGCTGATTAATGAGCTTTGTACAAGCCACAGGCGGCGACCAAGTGTTGCAAAAGTACTAAACTACCGAACACAAATTAGCATTGTCGAATCATTTCGCTAAGAATCTTTAGTCTATGAAACCCTTATTTAATTTGTATTAGGCTGTAACAATGTTTTGAGCATAAGTTTAACTCAATGATCTCCACAGACCATTTTTGTCTGAAAGTCTTTGCAGAGGTTGCGTTGACGATCAGTAAGGCACTCCGCTGCTATACCTCGTTTCACCTTCCTGGTAACTACTAGTGCACATTAATTTAACGAGAGCCATTGTATGATGTCAAACATAAAGGATGAATTACTGTCTCTCGTGTCTTGGTCGCTTTTACAAATATCAGCCTATTTACTGAAGTTATAATAAACAAAATGGAGAAGTCGAAAATTGATTCAAGACTGTGGTGTTTAATCCATGGAAGTGTATTCCCATTTGGCTCATTAGGACTCGGAGTGTTTTATTATTCCAAACTTTCGTCACGGTAATAAGAATTTTATGGTTATGGTGGTAGTAGTCGTAGTAGGACTAGCCTAGCCGAATGCTTATGACTGAGAGCTCAGTTACTGCATAGTAAACAGTAATCTCCAAGTGTCTTAATCACATCTCACTGTCAACGCGCTCTTAGTCCTTCCAATAGCGATCCTTTTATCGGTCAAGGTGCAGTTAAGAGTCTTGAATTTAAAGCTCTAAGGCTTGCACTATTCACAGTCACTGAACATGGTTTGAATATCATCCTGTTTTTGAAAGCGGTCCTACACTATTAGAGTGGAAAAGGTACATGGACATCGGCTAGAGAAACACCTAACGACCATCGTAAAGGCATTTATTCTTAGAATTATTCATAGCCTTAACGAGAATTTACAGAGATTAAGAATGTTTGTTTTAGTACAAATTAGTTTTCGCAATCACGGCTTCGCTTTGTGTAATTGCAATGTTGTAATCCACTCTTCCAACCTCAAAAGACTTCCTCAACCCAGATCTTGTCATTGGTTGTGGACTCTGAGTTCAGGTTTCATTTTGTTCAACTTGAATTAGCCACTCTGGCCATGCCAACCATCCCAAGACTGCGCTTCACCTTACTTCTGCCTGACTCAGTCCAATTATAAAAATTCACTTCCATTAAGCCTACCTTCTTATCTCCCATCTCTGCATTATGTTTTATAAACGCGTACACTTTTCTCCTCATTTCTTTACCGTGTGCAATCAGTTAAAGGGCGTTTTTCTAATTAATCTTAGGAGGCTTCGCAACTGTTGCTTTTACTAAACCCTGGCATTTCATTGTTATTTATGAGGTTAAGGTTAGTGAATGGCCTTCAGTATCTTCATCATGATCCTATTTTTTCCTTAAAGTCTGCTACTATCGCTTTCAGACGTCTTGGTGAAGGGGCAAATGATTCTGTTGCATCACTTCCTCTTGCACTCAGAGGTTACCGATTGCGAGGGTCTCAGTTAAATATTTTGAGCAACTTTTACACTGTTCTGCATAGGTCTGCAGTTTTTTGTGTGTTTTTTTAATCCACCTTTGGCCTTTCAAGGTGTAAGTTACTTCCCATACTTGTATCAAGTGTTTATATTTACCTTTTGGGACTAGAAAGTAAATTGATCCAATGTTACAACGAGCTTCAAGTTTCTTTTTGGAATTACGATGAATAGTTTTGTTCCAGAGCAGGCAGATTTTAGGTTTTTATTTTGCTTTTGTTCTGAGCTAACGATGTGTAGCCTTTGCATTTATTGGGGTTTCTCTCGGTAAATGAAATTAATTTTTAATCCTACACTGGAATCAAATAGAACATCTACCTTTCTGAAATAACCCTGGACTGAATTCGTAGTTGACTTTCCAACCCCAATTTTATCCATCATCGTCCCAAATTTATTCAGAAACATTTACAGATATGCAGGTGAACAAATTTTATTTTAAACAAGCTAAAAAGGTTTGTTCTATGGGAAATGAATAATCATTTGTAAAAACTTTATTAAAGGGCAACTAGTATATGAAACCGATGTAATGGCACAAAAAATAAATCTGAAGATGCTACTGACATTTTCGAATAAACTTGTTTGAGGGTAATGCGCTTTTTATGCCCAGGCAATTCACTTATGTTACTCCTATTTTATTAACGACACATTATTAACCTGTTGATCATTTTTTGCTTGTGCCTAGAATCATGAGGACCGTCAGTTTTCCTTTTTAGCAGGAAATAAGTCAAGCATAATAATGTTTAAAATTTCCTCCAACTAAGGCTAGTTTCTGTTTCAACAACTTCCACAGTCACCAAAATTCCCTAACTTAATCTGCATTTAGTTCGCTTCGTTTCTACAGTGTGCAGCAATTAACCTTCATTTTTTAACCCACTTTTTTTCTTTTTAAGCATATAGAAATTAATTGCATTAAGAATGTGGAATTAAGCAATGATAAATTATCTGCCGTGTTCTTTAAAACATCAAGTAATATCTAAACAATTCCTGGGCAACTATTTGGGTCTACTTTATCACTTTAGAGGGCTACTATAACTTCAATATATATAAGAGGGTTTTTCTCGCACCACCAAGCCATTAACCTCCAACCTGGTTAGCTTAACGCAAACAAGAATTCCCTACCCTTGTGGGCACTTGTACGCTTCACCAAATAAGCGCGCACGCAAGCACAGCCTGGAGGTCTAAGCAGATTGGCTGGGTGCGAGATTATAGGTTTCACGTGCAAAATCATCGCCAACAAAGCGCATCAGACATAATGCCCCGATGGCTACACCTGTGTCTACTTCTGCTCACCCTCACAATCGCTCTCGTTTCCCTAGCGATCTTGCTGATCGTCTTTGAACGCGTTAAGAACCTCAATGGAAGTGACTCCAGCTCTCCTGTCATCATCTCCGCGGATGAAGATTGGTTAAAGTGGACACATGAAATTAATATATCCTTTGAAAGCGAGGCTGAAGCCAAGTACAGACACTCTGTATGGAGAAAGAACTACGATATGATCCAAGCACATAATGCACGAAAAGACAGTTTGTATGTCATGGGGACGAATCAATTTACCCATCTGGAGCATTGGGAATTTGTGGAAATGTACCTTAGGAGCAAAAAAATTGAAATCGACAACTACGGTGTGAACAACTACTTTGAGGGCAATAAGACGGTGAGAGTGAATGAGAGCATAACCGAGGGTGACTGTTATCTGGGAAACTTTGACTGGAGGGAGCACTTTCCTGATCGTAAAGTCCGTGACCAGGTAGCGCCAGTCATTTACAATTTTCACCCTATTCTTCCTGATTTATCCTAAATATGTGTGCGGTAAATCAGCTACGCCTGCATTAATCACCTATCTTTTTGCTTATTGTACATTTGTGTTGTTTTTAAGTCCCTATTTGTTCTTACCTAGCACATATCCCTTGAGTTTTTAGTTATTATTTTTAACCACAGGGCCATACTAATGTCTGAAGCATATGGCAACTTAACGCACAATTAAAAACAAAAGATCCAAAAAATCGGCTCAAGTAAGCCGTGGGGTAAAAAGTGCGCAGTCCTCACTCACTTATGTGAAGTTTTGACACTTTCAGTAATTCGTATACAGCACTGAAACTCATTATACACTTGTCCAAAATCACAGCTTTTTAAACTTAAAACTGTGATTTTAGGTTTCCGGAGAAACTGTTAGCATCCTTATTCCGAATTTCATGTCCTCAGCCATCATTAATAACCCTATTTAACAAGCAATTATGGCAGCAAAATAGCGTCACGCCCAAGCCTTATGTAAAAAATTTGAAAAAAAGGGTTTGTTTCCTCTTTTTTTATTTGCAAAATCAAGAATCTAACAGTGTCTAATTGATATACATGTGAGCGGACGTTGCTGAACGACATTCTATTAGACAAAAAAATGGAGTGACTTGCAATGTTGTCCGTTTTAGAGAAGTCATGCAACTTGCAATGACTTGTATGTGCGTGTGATTGTTGACATTAACGTGGCGGTCTGTCAGCACGACACCTGTTAATGTATTCCCTCTTTTCTTAAGTGTCTTATATGACAGTTGTAGTGTTGGAGTGATAGGGTAAATCGTTTGAGAGTTGTGGTGTTTTTGGAAATTTCGAACAATGGAATAATGACCTTAAGGTGGGAAAGAGGCTCAAAGTAATAGACATGTTGCGTTCCGGCCTCATACCTAGTATAATTTGATATTCTCATTATTTTTTCATTCTCACCACAATTTGATCAAAGACAGGTGAATGCTTTTATCAACCTTCTACGCTACTTGTTTTATGAGTGGTTTCGTACAACAGGAACCAAAAGATTGTTTTTTCGCTGAACAATGTAATGAATTAGTACTTCGCACAATTTTAATGCGTATGTGCAGTAAAAGGAAACGCCACTGCGCCAAAGTGAGTTCTCTCTTGTCTCAGATGTCCTGTGGGTCATGTTGGGCCTTTGCTTCGGTATCAGCAGTCGAATGGCACCGTGCTATTCACTACGGAAGGAGCATCCCTCTCTCCGTACAGCAGTTGGTCGACTGTGTTCAATCCAACTTCGGCTGCAACGGTGGAATCATCGAAAACGCTCTTGCTTACATCCAAAATCACGGCATCATGCTGGATAGCGATTACCCCTACCGATCCAGAGTAAGCGAACATATTTCACTGAGTTTCCTAGATTGCAAATTAGCCATGCCGAGCATTTAATTGTTAAAAAGCTTATAAAATGCGCTTATGTTCTTTAGCGAAAAAAAACAATCACGGAACTCTCTATTTAGCAATATTTTGGCAACTCATGTGTAAATTTTGACCACGAATATAGGGTTTCCCCACTAAATATTGATTATTCCTTAGGTCACACCTAAGAAGGTAGAACGCGTGGTCCTACGAAGGCGCGGTTTTTTAATAACTTTATGGTAGCATTAATTCTCTTCTCTTACTCGGATGCTGCTGCATCGAATGTGCATAAATAGCTTCCGTTTGTCGGAGATTTCGATGCTTCTAGCAGAAGGCTAGGAGTTAGAGTGCTTCCAGCCCACAGTAGCCCTGTGTGTTATTTCAAATGCTGCCATTTTATTCTATGATTTTTAAAATGCGTGAACTTTAACTTAATGGTTCATAATGCAGCATGTTGAGGCCCTGAGGTTGCAACAATGCTGGAACTCGGTTGAATTTTCTTTGGTCAAGCAATCATTATTAACCAGGATAGCTTTTAAGCCTAAAAGATCTTCAAACTAAATAAAAATTTCGCATGCGTTACTTTTTTTGACAGTCCTTTGCACCTCCTCCGATGGATGGATGGCTGCTTTGCGGTGTACCACCCATGAAATTATAACATTGAAACATTATGGTTGCATGGACTGATCAGTTTCCCCTTCAAAAATGTGCAGGCTGCTAATAAATCGTTATTACAATGCAACTTCTTTGTAGATACATCTTGACTGATTTTGAATACTTTTTAGTTTGAACTAACGTCTGTAGATACTGTTGAACCAAAAATAGGAAAATTTTGCCTCGTAGAAATTTTCCCACTACTGCACCAAATTTATTGCAATCACTTGCTACGATTTATAATTCAAACAGCATTAATTATGGCAGTTTCGTAGTATCTGGTCGTCAGATTTTCTCCAAAAGTTCGCGTCTTGACGCCTTGGTCGTGGAAACAAGTGGCTTCCGTGTACCGCATCCTTAGGCTTACCTCTCTACTGGTTTAGTGAATACTATTTTATGTCAGTATGGAGAAAAGAATTTCGTCAAAAACTCACAAAATTGCTTAAATACTAGTATTATAAATGCAATGTTTCGTTTGGATATTGGTGCCAATTGTTTTTACTCATTTTTCATTGTTTGGATGAAATTGTCGTTTATATTTGTGAGCTTCAATTAATTGCATTCAAAATTTCATATAGAGCATTTAATACCTGGTGAACGAAAGAAAGAGTTCCATCCCTTGCAAAAACTCTGCATTATATAATGCTCTTCCCTTGACGATTGCATCAATAACGCCAAAAGTTGTCAAGTGATTGCTGCAAAGTTAAAAAACCTGTCGGAAGTGGTGATGAGAGTAGGGCGAGAATTCCTTAGCTCAAACGCCGTAAAATAAATTATTAACTGTTGATTATTGCTGTGATGTTCCCCTAAGTTTGCACCTTATTTGGTGTAGGTCTGCAGCATATTAATTGTCAAACATTTTGAGTGCTTTAACAATGCGTTGATTAATCACATTCTTCCATTTTAGTTGTGAAAAGCACATGAATGCAGCATATGACAATCACTTTGCAGTCTAGTTATGTGATAAAAAGATGCTTCAATTGGCAAGTAAATTACCTGTGTCCATGAAGACAATTTTCCTTCAGAGCATAATACAATATTTGTCGGTTATTGCGCTAAATTTTTTCATACGATATAACTCATAATCCTAAATGTGTACCTAAATGGATGTCCTATACATGACAGTGCTAATACATCATTTAATGCTTAGGCGAATAAGTTTAAAAGAACCATTTTCCACTTTCAATCTTGAAAATACTATTATCTCGTCTTAAAAGTCCGTTCGCATAAATATGTTCTTTTGATTATTTCTCGCCAAGGTGACGCAGTGCACTGAGAACCCGGAAAAAATTGCACTGAAGATCAAGGGCTACGAAACTCTATATGGGGTGAGCGAGGCCGTCTTGGCCTGCATCGTTCAACGCGTCGGACCAGTGGTGATTGGCTTCGATGCCAGTGGTTTGGGGCTGCAGCATTACAAGTGCGTTTGTGTAGGCTTAAGACGGCCTCATCGCTTCCATTCTTTAGCATTATCCCTGCGTTGAGATTACCTTCGATGTGTTGTAATCACTACTCATTTGACATTGCGAATCCACCTCAGTCATTTGCCATTTAGCATATTTTCATAAAATTTTCCTTTTGAATTTGTAAGCGGTTACAATACTTACAAACGATCACTTAAAATTGAAAAGGAAATAAGGAATCATTATTTTTTGAATCCAGAAACGGTTTTGTCATACAAATGACTCCATGATCTGATAATTTACCCAAACTGCTGATTTGATAAATTCTTGTTGTAGCTCCACGCTAAATAAGGTTTAATAGGGTTGACTTCTGTTCGACCACTCTCAATTACATCGCGACAAAGTGCAAATGGTCGTGGCCTTTTTGTGCTCAGACTTCGTTAAAATGGGCGGTGCACGTGCAGCAATTAACATTAATTTGCAAATTTATTTAGCCCACGGGTCCTGCCTCTTGCTAATGAAAGGACCCTTGACACTAATCCATAGTCAACTCATCATTTTCAAAGGGATCATAAATCATTGAATCCCCATACCAACTTAAAATTTTTGGTCACTCTTACTATTTCCTGTTCTCTTTTAATGGCCAAATTATTCAAGTGTGAATTCGAAACTGCGATTTGGTCATTGCAGGTAGAGTTGGTGGTATTTTTTAATTAAATTTCATTTCAAGTAGTGAGCCATTTGAATCCACGGTCAAAGGGTAAGTGGAACACTCTGTTGTAATACAAAGTAGCAAACAGGTTTCCTCAAAATTATCTCTTTCACAAATGACGTCTCGTTTTCTCCAAATTCAGGTCTGGAATCTATGATGGTACGGACTGTAACGGCGAGATGTTAAATCATGGACTGGTCCTACTAGGTTTTGGAACTGACAACAGGGGAAATAGGTATTGGATTTGTCAGAATTCCTTCTCTCAACGCTGGGGCGATAACGGCTTCTTCCGTTTCAAATTTGGCAGCAACCTCTGTGGCGTGGCTGCTACTCCCATTATTCCTATGGTTTAGAAACCCATGAGCAAGATTAGATACAAAAAGTTCTTTCATTAACTTGCTCCCCTCTTCTCCACACATATACCTACACTTCGGATGCATGGTCTGCCCCTTGTTCATTTATCCTGTTTGAGAGTAATTTTTCCTTATAAACTGTGTATTTTCAAAAGAAGGTTTTATAATCAGTGCATTCTTTTATAACTGAATGAGGCTTAGTTTGGTTCCTAAAAGCGACTTCCAAAATGCTTTGCGAAAAAGGATGGCTTCAAATGAAAGATGCACTCTGAGCGAGCGTCTTTCGATTTGATATTTTGACTTCAAGTGGGTGCACACCTGACTCTCTGTGGATTTGATGATTTAAATTATCGCACTTACAAATATGTTTTATGTATTCGGTAACTTCTGTGGCGTTGCAACTAGTGGTACTCAAAATGTCTTCAGTAAAGTCTTTACAATTCGCCGATAAAGAGTTAATCAATTCAACTTTAGAAAAATCCAAACATGCATTTTATTTGCTGGTTTTTGCACGCCCAATAATAAAAGCAAACACCTTTTAGGGCAAAAGCATTGACCTTTCAGTGGGAGGTGTAGTTTGAGTTTAAAATACTACTTTTCATGAATTATAATCCTGTTTTATTCAACTAATAAGCACAGGCTGAGCAAACAGCATTAAAGTCACAGTAAGATCTGCATTTTACTAATCACACCAAAGTTCACGTCAATTACTTTCAACTCAGAGGTAGCTTAATTTGTGTTTCTCGAGAGTGAAATTATTGAAAGAATATGGTTACCCAAGGGTCGCACTTCCACCCACATTTTTGACAAATCCTTCTTATTGGGTGCCGGCAAAGGCGAGCACCTTGTCGAAGAACCGAGCATGTGATTCAGAGGTGCACTAACTATGTGCTGCATGAGGTGCAATCTCCGAGTTCTGTGTGCAGGATTAGGTAGTTGAGTTTGCACCATTCTACAGAAATGGCTTTTTGGTTGATCCTGCTTATCCTACCTTGCGTTGTGGCGCATGAGGCAAAACGTACGTTTCCCATTCAACGCTTTTTCGACCAATGGAATAATATTGAGCTTTAAATCAGAACAACTAAACTGTAGCTCAAAAATCAGATTAATGGCCGAAAAAGTAGACATTTTTATATCCTTTAAACTGTAGCTTTTATCAATTTTTCTTACTGTATGTTTACAAAAAACCTATGTTTCTATGGTTATTTTATCATCCTTATTCATCAAAACAAAGTGCAAATGCAGAGCTAGTCCGGATTCGGCATAAATAAAGAGCTTTGCATCTATCATTGTGACTCAGACTTGGCACTAAATTACCATCCTTTAATTCCCAGCATTTTTGCTGGCATGATGGATACTGATTTGGGCATTTGGGTCTATGCTCCTGTCTTAGCATCGCTTTTGGAATCTTCGGTGAATGAGGCGCAAGTGGTTTGGAGCGGCATCGGCGGGCTTTTTCGTAATCGCTTCAACGAGTCCCCGCCTGCCCCTTGCATCACTCAGGCTAATGTGAATAACTTGGGTAGGTTGAGTTTATTGAGTCTACAAAATTGTTTACCATTCGTGCGTTTTTAATAAAAAATAATAATTAAAACAAATCCTGAGCAATACAAGGTGCCAGAATCGAAGCTGCTTCGAATTTTACCAGAGGCTTGCCTATCCTCATGCGACCAGCAAATAAAGTCTACCAGGGGTCCATAAAAGGGATTCCAAAGTCTTATTTCAAAATCAAGCATCACAGCAGGGGCTAATTTTTTTTTGAACTGTAGAATTATTGACTTCCTTGTTCACAATCGGAGTGGAAATGGCAAAGCTTGGATGCAAAATAGAAAGTGAGTTTTAACTTTTTCTTATTTTAACAAGATATCATATTACGCTTATTAAGTATGACTGAGGAGTAGTCATCGACATTGACAACATTTGTGAATTCATCCTCTCAAACCTGTACACACCACACTTATTGGTGCGCGCTTGAAACATGCGCGCTTTGACTGGTGACTTTTTTAAATGAGGCCACTATTTGTCTAAATTAACAACTTTTATAAGTGCTGTTGATAGTGACTAGCAAAATGTTCATGACATTTCAAAGTAATTTTGTTGTTTTCTGATTGTGATGATCTGTGAAATAACTTATCGAATCATAATGCAATGGTCTAGGGAGGATCATCGAACTGAATTTTCTTTGCAGCAGACTTTGACACATAAATTTGATTTTTACCAATAAATGCTAGCACTGTTGTCTTCTCATCGTGCTTTATAGCTCTGCACCTCATTAACGGTCACTGCTTATAGTTGAGACACTCAATTTAAAATTTTGTCTTTAATTTCGCTCATTTACGCTCCCACCTGCTTGATAGGACACCGCTATCATGTCGTATGTTTTTATGACCTGTGGGCTTAAGATGGGTGATGCGACAATTTTTTCCTCAACTCTGCAACAATCTAGTTCTCACATGGCGGTTGAAATTTCCATGATGCTTGTCACCACAACATTTGTTTCATAATAGACCAGAGCATTCAGCTTGATGCAAATTTGAATGCAATCCTTGAAAGTATGCAAAAGGTTGCCAATGAAGTGGAACAGGAATCAATTGTTTCCGAAGCGGAACGATGTACACTGCAAGATAGTAAGTCTTTGTGCAAGGTTTGTCACATTTACTGGCTAAAACCCTGTACTACACCCCACTAACTTTTCCTCCAAATGTAAATGTGACACTGGTGGGGGAGCCTAAAATCGCTGATTACAAATAATCTAAACAGGAGAACACAAAACGTAAACGATCCCTAAGGGCATTCGGTCGTCTTCAAACTCAACTAAACTTTTCCTTTTCCGTTCTCTTAATTTCTATGATAAGGATCTTAATCCTTACAAATTCTTAACCGCTCATGTGTTTAGGTAATTACACTCAAAATCGGCTACACCACAACTTGGCGTTGATAGTTTCGCCCATAGATTTGTAAAGCCTAAAATTTACCGGAACTTTAAATGTTGGTTAATTTTCCTTAGGCGCTCACTAAACCACTCACCAAATGATTCGATTTTTCGAGCTCTTTCCCTTATTTTAGAGTTTTTGTCAAAGACGTCCCTGAAAATTTTGTTCAAGTCGCTGGTAGACCTGTTTCCAGGTATCCTCCTTCAGCCAATTTAGTTATGCACTTTGGGTTTGCTAATCGAATGTGCTCAAAATCGCTTCGACACCGAACATAGGCTTTATTCATTGCTTACAGATACGCACTTAGAAGACAAAAATTGCTGCAATTAATTGCGTGGGGACAGCAAATCCGTGCCTTTATTCTTTTCTAATGCAAACTACTTTAACTGTATTTTCCTAAGCGAATGTCAGGTCAATGACTTTAGGGTGAACCGTGGGTTCACTTTTATGTTCACTTAGGGTTTACTCTCTACCGCGCAAACTCATGCCTTAGTGCCTAACTAACTGCCATTTTAAAAGTGGCCTTTGTCCAAAAGCGACTGTCACCTACTTATTGTTTTCAGACTCGTGCGACAATATCAAAGAATATAATAGCACTGTGAAGAGCATTAAAAAATGGGTGCAACCGATTCAGTCAAGTATTACTTTCCGGGATTCGTTTGGGTCTATTTCTAATGACACTATCGACGGCAATCACAGTAAGTAATTTTAGGTTTCATCCATCCCATCGTTTGGCCCACTCACATCTCACACCCATATCGGAGCACCTTAGCTCTTTTGTTATTTGATCCGCCATTTAACATCTTTATAATGATACAATATAATTTTGGCAATGTGAACACTTGAGGGTTCAAATTGTGTTCAACTCCTCACTTATATTGCTGGACGTCTACCTGTTTTTGACTCTCGAATCATGCACCGAGCTACAATTAATTTTACCGGCACAATACCCTGCGCATAAGAACGAACTCTTTGAAAAATATGACTGAGGAACGGTAGGCTGTTTCAGGTGCACCTCCTAGTACAATTTATCTGAGCGAATTCCTCGTGGAGCTTGCGGTCATTAGTAACCGTACCGGGGCAGAATTTTACAGCACCACAATGGAGGCAATCACAGCCTATGCTCCTCCTGTTCGCAACAGTATGTCCATCAAATTCCTACAAAATGTGGAATCGACAATTGCGACAGTCTGCTCTAGCCTGCTTCAAGAAAAGCAAACCGGAATCACTTTTATCTATGATGACAATAACAGTAAGTTCACTTAACTATTGCTAACGCAGTCTCCAAGGCTTCCAACTGCAATTGAATGCATGCGACAGCCAAGTCTCATATCTTCACTTTAGAGTAAAGTTTTTTCCACTTACTAGAAATCATGGTGATAAGTATTCAAAACATCGGCTAGACTTCGACACCGTACTGATGGAATGGAGTTTAAGTGGTTTAAGCAACACAAAGGGCTACCAACTTAAGGGCAGGATGGATACAAAACGTGCCTGGGTTTCTTAAAGACCGCATTTTTAATCACAAAGGTATCTTGTTTAAAGTCTTGGAAATGGCACATTACCTTCTAATGTAAAAGGGTTAGGACCGTCAGCTTCGAAACTTCTTGCAAAAGACATTTACGCCTTGCGCCAAGTGGCCATAAATTGGAAACAAGTGCTTTTTTTGAAAATGACTTTGTATTGCAATTGATTTCTCCCACGAACGTCAAATGTTAGCCTGTGATTTGGCGAATAAGGAGAAGAACATTTTGATCATCCACTCTGTTTTGGTTATTGTCCTTCAATTTTGCTTACCAATTGTTTATTGTCCTACAGCTTTTGTGTTTTTGCGTTATGTCATATCTTTGTTTTCCGAGCCCTTTGAAAACCTGGATTAGGTTGGCTCCTCGCATTCAGTGACCATTTTAAGAAAGTGCACTCATGACTGTGAGAAACACTGTGCGTAAGCTAAAAAAACTGCAGGTTGCGCAACTTTGACCCAATTATCTTGATGAAAAGTAAAAATAATGCAAGCATTTCTCTCTCTTATCATTAGTGTTAGGCATTTTCGAACCTGGCTACACCAACCGATTGTAGTGGCTTGAGACACACTCGACAAAAGCCTCATGGGGAACTTTTCAACACGTTAGCGCGAAAGAGAATAAAATGTTCGAAATAATTCCGACACATTCGTTTCCATGTTTTTATTGCTTTGGACATTAACATTAGCGCATCCGCCTGGGTGATTCCAGGTGAAAAGGCTATAATCGCACCAAGTGTTTCCGTCCCTATAGATGCGCATTTGCATCAAAGTGAATCACTCCAATCTCTTGATGTATTTGATGGTTTACAATGTACACATTAGACCACATCTGCGAAGACATAGCTACAATTCTTACGTCTGTGTACTGTCTCTAAAAGTGATGAAAGGAGCAAAATTAACAGACTGAGTTTAAGCCTACTATCTCACCGGTTTGCAAAACTTGCAATTTCAAAGCAGCCTTCCAAAGCTTCCCTGGAGTCAGAGGAAGGCAATGATTAGGCAGAATTAATGTGTTTGGCGCACAGAAAATAGTAGTCAGTTTGCTGACGTGGTCCAGAGGCCAGCCCACTCCCCAGAGGCGCAATAGCCCTTAATCAAAGTCGAGTTTCACAAACTTCAAATGAATTACATTAAAAGTCATTTTTTGTTAAGAAGGCGATAGCTGTTTGCCTCCTGCATAATTTTGTTACCTACCCTAGTCAAGTGTTTTGACCCCTTAATGTGATGCAATGCATTCTCCATACCATAATGCTTTCAGTTTCAGTGACGTGATTTAAGATGAACAAATCGGAAATTAAGTTGCCTCATTTCTATTAAAAAATAAGTTGTATTGGTTTTATTTCTGGTTTAATTAGGGGCTTGTCTTAGGGATGGGCTTTTTTTCAGAATAAAGTTTTGCAATAATGTTTGTTTCGGTAGCTCTGATTACTAAGAGAAGGTGACCTTTTCCTGGAAAATGTCTTTCCCACCTTACAGAACTGATCTTCCTCATTCGACTGTTAAAGAATGTCTACTTCAGCACAATATACCTGCCCAGTGGATGGGAGAATAATAGCACTATTAAGGATATCTTAATTCAACAATTTCAAAACACCGTTGTTCCGCAAACATATGTCCTCCTCTTCCAAGATGAGCACAGCGAATCATACACTAACGACTTTCTCGGCCTGGTGAGCAACTACACTTTTTAACAGTTTACGGTAATCGTTCGTTTTGGCTGAGAAATTGTCATATTGTTGGCCAATTTATGCTTGCGGATTAACATCTTCCAATCATTCGTACTCACGGAAGGATGCCAACACGTCTAAATCATCACTTTGATCGCATTGAACCAACTTCATTAACTCTTTTGAATGGTTGTTAAGTGGTAACGCTGGTCTTTTGAGGTAGCTATTTTGTGCTTTAAGGCCTATATGTCTCTTGCTAAAGCCACTGTGCAGGCGTCAATCCATCTGCTGATTTGTTGTTTTAGGCTATGCTACACCAACAACTTCGAGAAGGCATACAAATTATCTTATTTTCTACTGTAAGCTTTCGGTTGTATCAGAAGTAGTCCTTGCTGAATTGCAAAATATTTCTCATTTGAAAACGCCAGAGGGATATGTTTTTCTTGGCATCATTTAAATTCGACTTCATCTCGTTTCTGACCTGCCGTATGTCCACAGAAGAACAACTGCTCAGTCTACAGGCAGTTTGCAAGAACAGGAGCGTCTCTGATCACTTTCGGCTTGAGCACAGCGTACGCACCGGAAATACCCTCTCCTTTCTATGACATGACTTGGCGAGCTTCAGCAACCTACCTGGATGGCCTTACATACATTACAGAAGATGCAACCCAAATAGTGAGTGAAATGATGCACTTTTATTAACCTTTTAAGCGTTTTACGCATCTTAAGTTACTAACTGTAGAGTGCATGGAATTTGCGTTTGTGGTTCTATACTCGTAATCAGTTTTTTGTCTCCTCTTCGTCAAAAGCCCGGCCATTACATCCTTTCAAGGATCAATTTCAGTCAGACTCATCCTACTGCGAGTCCTGTTGAGGCGGTGGCAATTCTTGACTGCTCCAAAGATACAAAAAAAGGGGTAACCAATGCTTTTATCTTCAAAACCGCCAAACAGCTGTCTAGTAGATTACCTTGTGAACCCTTTTAGATAGGAAGCTGGGTGCTGAGTCGAAAACCACAATTAAAATTGGGCAGCATCAATTCAACCCTCAATGGTCGCACAATTAAAGTCGGACTTATTGACGTGAGATCTGTCCTTTTTTGCAAACATCTCCTTTTAAAACAGCTTGCCTACCCTTACCAACCTTTGATAACGAAAAAAACTTGAATTTCTGTCTCTTTTGTCACGGGTCACCATATTTTTCGCTGCCTGACTTGTCAATTTATGTGATGATTTTATGACGGCACGCCCTAAAGATTTTGACTTTGCTCTTTAACTTGGCCAAGTTGGACAAACTCAAGGTCCGACGCATGGCTAAATTTAAATCGGTGCCAACTTCCTCCTCCTGGTGCTCGAGGAATACCCTCGTCCCTGCATCCCTCTGATAACCATTATTTTGCACAGATTTTAAAACACTTTCTGGGGTTACATGTCTTAGAATGGATGAAGCTGTCTTGCTAGCTCGATTCCCAAATTGTAACTTGCTCTAACAACTACTTTTGCGATTGTTTACTCTTAAATTTTGAGAACTCGTTAGACATCCTATAAACGATCCACTTGTGCACAAATTTGTTTGTAATTGTGTATTTTTGTAATCAAAACCAAAAAATTGTTTGATTTCTTTAGTAGAATAGCTCTTTTCTTAACTCCCCAGTAAATTGCACTAATGGTAGGAAAAAGTGCAATGAATGTTTATTGGTGCAACTCAACTCATTTATTTATTTATCTATTTACTCTAGTACATTCCCTTCTATGAGAATGGCACCGGATTCTCAATTCCAGTAATGGACACGCTTGCATTCCTGGCAAAAGTTAACTATGAATTGGTCATTTTCAAGCAAAGTTTAGGCGAGCCCTACTACGAGAAAATGCTCAAAGCAATTGAAAATCGCGTAATTTATTTTGCTTAACCGTCGTCCTTCCACGGGATTGTTTACTTGCTTAACTTTTATGTTCCCTAGAAGTCTAATAACGTTAAGATCATATATGCATAAAGTTTTGAGAATTTAAAAGCCTTAGATTGTGAACTAGGATTTAAAGTTAACTGAAAGAAGAAGAGCCTGTCCTCCATCTTTGTACTATCTAAGGTCTTTAATTAACACACACTAAGTACAGTGCTCAACGCAAATAACATGAAGTGACTTACAGCAGTCAAAGTTCGTGGAAAACAAATTCCTCCCGTTTTCAGGAAATCTACGTGGGATTCACACCAGTTCCACTCTCTACATTAAGTACAGGAAATTTGTCGAGCTCATCCGCAACCTTGACTATTTCCTTCACACTGGTTCGCCAACGCCCCTCTCGACCAGCAGACTTCCTTCTGCTGTTACGGCCTCTCTCTCTGCCCGTATGGCTGGCCAGTGTAGTCTTAGCTTTCATTTTTACTGGACTTTTGATGGTTTTTGGTCACCTCAAACCCGTTATCATGCGAAACCTGGCAGAGGGCGAGATGACCTCGAAGCGAGATCTCTTTGAGGTATCAGCGCTTGGTGTGGCATCTACATTCTCACTCACCAAACTGCAAATTATTCCTACCACTCTATCCAGTCGCATCTTTGCCCTCCTCATGTGGATGTTCTCCTACCTTCTTCTCGTGATCTACGCTAGTGCCATGATGACAATTTTGCTCAGAATAAGAACACCTTCGAATGCAGACATCACAGTTGACACGGTGTTGGATAGCAAAAGCTGCCAAAAGTAAGTTTTCAGCACTTTACTCTTGGATGGTCCACCATTTTATGGCCAATGTTTTTTTTACAATCCTCCACTAGTACAACTTTTGGGCGTTTTACTTGTATGTACAACTTTATTCAGATTTCGTTCACATGGAAACTATCAGTATCATGCTTATACTTTGACGACTACTTGATTAGTTGAGAACATTTTCTCATGAACTGACCAATCATGCTTATTCAAGTATTTCTTGAAGGAAGGCGAATGCATTTTTCCTAATTAATCTCTCAAAGTTAACAAAAGATAATAAGCTGTTTGTGCACATCATTTTCTATCATACTTATTACTGTAATTATGGCTTATTTTCTAAAAGCTTACCTGGCTAATAGGATTTACTTCTTTTTCGAAACTCCGTAGTTGAAGAACTCGGCGCATCCGTCACGTAATTAGTTTGTGGAAATGTCCTTAATTTTTATCGAATTAGAATTAGTAATTCTCTTGTCACAAAGTTGTAAAATTCAACACCCAGCGTTTTTCTAGAGGGCGAAGGAGAGCACTACTAAAACACGAGGGAGCCGCTAACAGAGCCTAACGACCATACGTTCGAAGACAACTCCTTTATAATGAGGGCGTATACACAGAACTAAGGCAATCGCCTAAAACAGAAGTAACTTTCAACCCATCTGCAGCACAAGTTTTACCATAGTGCAATAGGAATAAGGGTGAATCATCTCTTGGGATCTGATTAGCTTCTTGCTGCCACCAGTGTAATTCTATTCGTCTCATTCGAAGAATACCGGGTGCTACCATAGCTTAGGAACCATATTTTTTAGAGCTTTATAAGTGTAGAACCTTAAGTGCCTCCAAAATTAAGACAAAAAGGCAAGCAAACACTCAAATTACCACAGAAATTCTAACAGCATTTTTGGCAGATTAAAGGCCAGCACAACACGCATTAGCCGTTTCGTTACATCAGGAGGTGGTAGATTTTGTTCAAAGCACACAGCACGATGCAGGGTTACAATACAAACGCTATAGAATATTCTTACAGTGGCACTACAGTCAAGGACGTGAATCAAATGCTAGAGTCGGACTTAGCGTTCTAAGATTCTAAAATTCACAGAATTTGACGCTTTAACTTGGACGGTTTCGATCAAGACCTTAGCAAACAAAGCTTAATGCTTGGCTTAAGGAACTACAGTAGAGAGGAATTTGCCTTGTGTTTGCGTCATGAACTCGTGAGTCTCAAAGGCTTTGATCTCCATCTAAGCCTCGTGCCGCTCCACCAATTAACATGCAGCTTTTTCGATGTTCTGTTCAAACAAAGCGTTCCTAGATGCTGCAGGTAAACAATTTCCTTCGACTTGACAGACTATTAACTGTTGGAATGTGCTATCATTAGACGCTTTGTCAGTTTCTTTCGCCTCTCCTTAAACGAGCCTGCCACCTTTGAATGGTTTTATGAGATGTTGGGTGCGCAAAATGGAGGGTAAGGGACGTAACAAAGGACAAGTAGGAGAAATGGGTAATGCCTTGTCCATGCTCGATGGGGTTCTCAGTCTCTTCTAGCACCAACTTTTAAGCGGAATTTTTAGCCTCGGATTCACAAGGCACTTATTAAACAATTCATATGCTTCAAAATAAATGTTTTGGCTACCCTAAGTAATTTTTTAACACGTGGACTCATCAACAATATCTGTCGTGTCCTGTTCAAGATACCTCGCTCTTGACATCTAAACGTTACTGCGTTTGGACAAGAACCCTGTTTGATACTTGACAAGTGCAATTAGGATTCAAAACCCTTCACTTATGGTCAATATTTACCACCAAATGCCAACACTTACATTTTGCCATTCCGTCTCCCAAACTTACAGTTATGATTGGCTTTCTTAACTGATATTTAGAAGACGCTTACTTTAATGGTCACTTGAGTCTAGAAAACATCATCCACCTTATCGAAACGCACCATTCACCAAATCGGATCAAATATTCCTTTTTGAAAGACTCATCGTGATCGAACATGGCATCGGTTATGACTCTATCATCGCATCGCTCCATAACATTTCAAAGTCGCACACCCCGGTCAACTCCGTTCAAGCAGCCTACGATGCCCTTATGAAGGATGACAAAACCGTTCTTCTGGCTTCTTCAATCGAGGCGTCGTACATTGGCGTCATGGTTAGTTGGTTTCGTCATTAAAGTAGTCAGTTTATGCAAAAGAGATGGAAGATGTGGATGGGGATGGGGCTAAAATGACTGCCCTTCATGTTTATAGAATTGTGCATTGGAAATGATTCCCTATACAAGTTTGTATGAAATAATATTGAGCTTCCCATACTACAAACCGTGGACATTTGGCTCTGAACTAGACTACTACTTCTCGATAATCAGCAAATCCGGCATTCTTACCAATGCAGCTTCAGTGTGAGTGATTGTAATTTTACATGTTTTATGGAGCCTAAGCTGCACTTCCGATTGCAATATAAAGAACAATCTTTTCGTTTTTTGCAGATACTTTGAAACAGGACGTTGTTATCAACCGAACTATAATGTACCAAAACCTAGTGTTCTTGAGCTTGGAGATATGGCAAGCATCTACATCTTCCTACTCATAGGCATCATAGTCTCTTTCATTATAATGGGTCTGGAGCTACTCGTCAAGCACATTGTCGGTAAACAAGAGGCGCAAGTGCGTTATTTTGTCCTTCCTCCTTTGTGTTGGTCTTGTAACTCGTCCGTTATTGTTCGCCTCTTCGCATTCTAGGAACGTACTCTCCTCGTACCAGGAAGGCAATACACAGCGAAAATCGTTTCAATCAAGTATGCGGCTCTGCGTAATGTATTAATTTATCTTGACACTTTGCGAACTTTCAGAAATTATTTGCCCATTAATATGAATTGTGAGCCGTAGTAAGGTAGCAGTAATATGATGTTCCTTGTTTGTCACCAGTAATGTGTTTGTGGAGCTTGACTCGCCCAGTTGTCCTTATTCCTAGGCGAACCGGTGTCAACGTAAACGTTGCTGATCGGCCAGAAGTTGTTTTCATTCCAAATAGTCAACTTCACACGGATCCTCTCAAGGTAACTCAGATGCTATTTCACCTAATCAAATCGTTCTTAACTCATGTTGCCGCTAAATAAGTTGAGAATGCTTATTTTAACAAGTCACAAAGCTACCAACTACCATGATGGTCTATATCCGCAGGACTTTTTGGCTTTAAACTGAGCAGCCACCATAGTGAGCCGGTAGTCCTGAAATAGAGTGGATAATGAATAAGACTTCAAGGCATGTTTTGTTAGGTCATGGGGATGAGCAGGCGCAGGTGTGGAACTTGAGAATGGGCTCAGAAACTAGCTGGTGAAGGCTGACGGAAGTATCAAGTTTATTCGCTGACCCAGATTGCCTATTCCTGCGCCTAGGATTATGCTAGTGCAGTCCTAATCAGTGAGAAACAGATTTGCAATAAAGCTATTTTTTGCAAATTTGGAAACCCCATCTCGGAAGGGCGCACCCTGTAATATGCATCGTGGGAGGTATTTTATCGAGGTTGAAGTCTAGCGAAGATCGGTCGGTCTTTGCATATGATAAACGGAACTTTTGTTTTGTTTGTTTGCTCCATTCCTACGCACGTTTGGTTTGCCAATCCATAAATTTTAACAACCTCTTTTGTAAACTTAACATCAATTAAACCCCGAAAAATCGTAATAGCAACGCTATACGAATTTATGCTCCATACTATAAGCTGTTTATTCAAAAGGATTCGATTATTCTTTCCATACAAATTAGGTCTACAACGCATTAGACATGGGTTTGGCGGTAGGCGACTCCATTGAAGTGACATACTTCGGCAAAGCCAGCGACGGGGAGACTGAACTCTTCTGCCGGCATTTTCCGAATGAATAAAATCCACAACTGATAGCAATTTTGGCGTCTGCGCTCAACACTACTTCTCCTTCTGCGCCTTCCAAATATGATATTTTTTAGAAGAGGAAACATTTTTACGCTGTCCATTTTAACGATTTCGAAATTTGACTTCAAAACGTTCGCAGGTTAGGGAAAATGCATCAAACTGAATAAAGACTAAGATGGCGCCACATAAGTTTATTCTCTTTGTACTGGCAGTCCTGAATGCTGTTTGATGAAAGCCAACAGTCTTCAATTCAAGGTGCTTATTCGAGAAACCTATAGTCTAGAAATTTCAACTTGATTGAAAGTTAAAGGATTAAAGGGATTATAACCGTAAGTAGGACTGTAATGCTTTGTTTATGTGACTATCTGATGTTCGGTGGTTACTTTTAGAATTCGGCTGGCCCTTATAGGCGTATGGTGGCATTTGGACTGAGCTCAGACTTAATCCCTTCATTCTCTCTGTAATACATGCATTCGACTCCGCTCACCGCCTTCTCCTATCCGGTGGGAAGTCTCGGGACAATACAAGGACTAGTGGCGCTAATAGTATTCGAGCTGTACTATATTTTGCAAAGAAGAAAATACGTTAAGGTATATGTAATGCTAAAGTAAAGGGAATTTGGTATCAGACAAATACATTCTATCACAGAGGAGGGAATGACATGCTATAAAGGCATAGCGTGTATTTTAATACGTGGTGAGGCTAGACCACGAGAAGAAAGCATAGCATGTCTAATAATGTAAAACTACGCATCATCTTACATGCCTACTGTCCAAAAAGGTTCAATATAATGAAAAAAATTAAAATTGTAGCAAGAAATCGTCACTTTTAAACGCCTGAGGTAATTATACAATGACGAACAAGATCAATTTAAAGTGTTTTTTGTTTGCAGTTCAGCTCAACATCATAAACCAAGTTATGTGTTACGTGTCAGTTGGTTTTATTGTGTTTTACTGTGCTCAAACCTCTTTACCTTCTAGTGTTTGCTCTGTTCGAGTTTTGTGGGTCGAAGTATGTCTTCACGTCTTACAAGCTATTTTGGTGTCAGGCGTGCTTGCACTCCATCTTCTTCAAAGACTACGAATGGTTTTGAGAATGCGAAATCAAATGTGTTTAAGGCAGCTTCTGCGGATTCTAATCCTATCCGAAGTGCCCCTACCTCATCGGCTTCAACTGAGTCGCAGAAGAAAGATAGGCGGATCAATGCTCTCAATAAAATTAAAGGAACGCACGTGGTGAGTTTAGTTGGTGCCATCTTGAGGCGGTTTCGGCTGTGTTTACTTAAGCATGTGTTGTTTTTTTACGTTTTTCCACATATTTATAGACCAGAACCCGCAATAGGTTTAATAGGGCCAAGTTACCACCGAAAAAACTGCCTGCATACATGCGTTTCGTGTACTTGGCACGAAAGGAGGATCTCAAATCGGCCATTTCCCCAAAGCTAGCGCCCTCTTGTAAAGGAGACATTGCTGTCGGTAAAGAAACACGTGAGCATACTGGAACTGGAATGTCGACAGATTTAGCTGAATCCAGGTTTTCTTCGGTAAAGGATGAAAATCTAGGGGCCTCTCAGACAAGGGCCGACAGTGAAGAACAGGTGGTGTCTCGTGGTTTATCACAGTCGAGTGATGTCCCAGAGGTTGCCCTTAAAAACTTCGTAATCTCGATACAGAAACGTTCTGAAGATAGGCTGAAGCTTCACGTCCCAAAAGAGATCCAAGCTCTAACAGAATCCGGAAACTGCTCCAATGTTTCGGTTGAGGAGACCTCGACGTGTTTTGAAAAAGACAACACAGCAATTGAGCGAGTTGAAACAAGTGTTGTACCTGGCTTCTCTTTTCCTTCTGATTTGCATCTACCCCATCATATGGAGCGGCTACTGGAACTATTTCGAACGTGTGAATCTCTTGTCAGCACACTTCATAACCGCTCCGAGGTATGTAGCTTTGACAAAATCAAACCAGCTGTCCAAGAAGTGGTGAGATGGTAGGTTTCACTTCTGATAGGTTTCAGTCGTCTTTTAAGTGACTTTACTGAAGTAACGGTCGGGAAGTTTTCCGCAGTCTATCCTTTAGCTTACAGTTTTCGTTACGACAAGCAACTGGACAGAATAACTAAGCGTCCACTCAGCACGTACACGCTGGTTCTTGTGCCAAATTTGCGGACAGGTGAGTTGCAGGGTGTTGTTGAATTCTCACCCAGATGGCACTCAAATGGCGTACGAATCGCCCTCAAAAGGTCATCTTGCCTTTACTGGCACTCGGCTCATTCAGCGCCGTCATATCTTCCATAACTCACTTCTGCAACGAGTGAAGAAGGCACATCGGGTAAACTCTTGTGCCACTTTGTATCATCGGAACATTTCTTAGCATTGTTAGTAGCGCTACTCCTATTAACCTCATTTGTGCTTTGTTGACTCAATTTCTTTTGAATGAGTTTGCTCTTGTGTTTTGTTTTAATCTGTTTTTTTAGTAAAAAAGACTCATATAGAGGCATGTAGTATGCATTCTTAGCTTTTATCTCGATCTGATCGACCAGCGTGAAATTTTGCTCAAAGAACTCCTGCTTTTCATTTTATTACTATCTATGTATTGTCTGCGTTTTTGAATTAATCTACATATTTACTTATTGAGCCTTGTTGAGGAACTTCCATTTATCTCATTGTATAATCTTTCTAATGCATTTCACACCCCACTTCAGTGGGAAGTGTATTCCTATTCACGGGATTTGGCGTGCGATTCTTCTTTAAACACATCTTCCCATTCCTCACCAGGAGTTTCTGATGGGGCGTTTTGGTCTTTCGGAGGATGATTTGCCAGAGGATTCCAGCCTGCGTCGATGGCACCCTGCTTTTGCACTGGACACTGTTGTTCCCGAAGTCGAACCCATTCCTCTGCCTCCACGGCCCCCCAACAGCACTGGTGATGACGACAAGATCACCTCAGCAAGCGAAGCTGTGGCTGCATTCCGTACGCGGGCTCTATTCAGGGAGGCCAAGGCTTGTGAAAACTTGGTACCTAAAGGCGTTACAGATCAAAAGTTTGCGCCTCCTACCCCAACTACCGCCACCGCTGATCCTAATAGAACTTCCAACAGCGCTGCCCTGAGGGGTGTGTCGGCCGCTCTTCTAGCCAAGGTGAGCTAAGGAGTATACTTTATTACACCTTGGTATATTAATATTTGATGGGTTTTCAATATCACACTCGCTACACTTTGAGAACCACAATAAACCATAAAGTAGGCGAAATCTACAGCGGAAAACCGCGATACGCCTGCAGTCCAAAGCATAGGTACAAGTAGAATGCATAAGAGTTAAAGTCCATTTCTCCCAACCTTCACGGTAGTTTTGTTTTCTCTTGGTGTCAGATGGCATGTTATTTTGATGCTTATTGGGCCTTCATGCGTACCATTCGCATTTCCATTCTGTGCACTGCTCATAGGTAGGATTGACCATCACCACTAACGCTATTGCCATGGAGCCTAGAATTTTACTGGCTTGTAATGGAAGTCTTTCTCGTTGAGGCTATATTATTCCGATGTATTTTCCCCCTATTTGAACTTGGGCGACTTTTGTTAGTTACCTTGCTTCTTGATCTGCCCTGCGTTATTCGACGGACCATGTATCCTCAGTCGGTTTGCCCCTGATGGCTGTTAATGGATTTATATGAATAGCCTCGTTTTTCCCTATGTAACATTATTGACTGAGTCGTACGCATCTTCCTGTTGGATTCCTACTTTTATTAAACTGGTCTGTGTAAGAAGTGAACCATATGGTTGTGTTGCATTTCTTTATCTGAAGTAATTGTTGAAGGGGAGAGCATCTATGGCCGCTCTTTCCCCATCATCGACTTTTAACATTATTCATAACTGCTGCTAATTTGATTCTGAACAAATTGTGCTTAACATTTTTTCATGTCATCAGTGTGCAGTAACAACTATAGATTCGTTATCCATTAAATCCACCTTTGTAAGACGTCCTACGAATGAGCTAAGGCACTCACAGAACAAATAAAGCTGATCATTGCTCCGCATTGTTAAGATTTTGGGATGTTTCTGGTAGAACTCGTTCATCAGGATCCATTTCGTCTCTGTCCGTTGTTAGACTGTCTATTTTTCCTTCACAGGTACGTGAGCGCGAAAGACAATTAAACTTATCCATTCTAGCCCAGCCGGTCGTCTCGGCCTCGGAGAGGGCTGCCTACTCTGCTTTGCCAGTTACCATCACACAGATCTGGCGGGAATTACGAGGTGCCAGTAGACGTCCGGTTCCAACTTCTCTCATCGCCACGCGGCTCATCCAATCCAGCGCATCTGGTCTCTCACTTGGTCAGTCACTTTTCTGCTCATTTTTTGATCATCACTGACTTGAAATAGTGCATCTGCCTTCCCATTAGGTATGATCTTTTCTTTCAAGTGCCTACGAGAACATTATTTCAGTTTGTCCGACTAAGGCGTACGATTCTGTCTTGGGCTCTAACTAACTTAAGATGATATTATTGATCTGTATCATTTTTTTACTCGCCTCTCCCATTTCTGAAGTCGTAAGGCACATTCATTACCTTGAAGTCATAGTTCTTCACATGATGCTCTTTACTCAACATAGCCAACTGTATAACTAGGTTTCAAGCACCTGCATTATGTAATGTTGCCTTGGGCACTACTTTTCCTCCCATTTTGAAAAGGAGTATGACACTACTTTCGTCATACAAAGCACTTCGAGTTACTTCGGCTGAAATATTTTTTGTGGTACCTCTCAAGCTCTAAGACTGTTTTCGTTGCTTTCTCAACTGTTTTTTGGTCACTTTGGTGGTTGCCAGAACATGTGGGACACTTTCAAATGCGCAAGACATTCTTCGAATCACAAATATCCCTTTCAGCTGGTTGCTGTTTAACGTGACCTGCTATTCCTTTTATAAAGAATGTGCTTTACACTCCAATTACCCAGGTGCAATACAATGTAAATTAATCGAAAAATTTAAACGCCTTTTGCTGCTAGAATTGTTAGCGGCATTTAGAATAATGGGACGTCTAGTGTTTAGTTGATTTTCTTTATCCCTGGTTATTGACTTGTTATTAGTGTGGCTACTTGGTCCTTCTTTTTAAAAACCTACAGATGAGGCAATGGCCAGAATCGAAAATTTGCTCACTCTGATGCCCGATTGGGTGGAAAAGGTTGCCTGGGCTCGACCCCATCTGCGATTTAAAGGAGGCAGCGCGGATCGACCATTAAAAGAAGTGATTGACGAGGCGAAGGCCAAAGCATCAACAATGAGTCTCTCCTAGACTCGCTTTTCACTTTGTTTTTATGCCATCACTCTTTTCTCTTCCCTTTGTAAATTGTACATGTATGGTTTTAAATTTAATGTACTTCACGTTGAAAAATCGTGTGAATTTTCGTTGATACGAAGCTGGCGCTCTCTTCATAGCTTTGGAGCTAATTGAGGACTGTTTCACTGGGGTCTTGGTGTTACGTTAGTGATTACTGCATTAGCCTGCTGCAGTAATGAGCCTCATTGTCTGTAGTACATCAGGAACTACAACAACAAATCCAATGTTAACAATTTGCCAAGACAACTATTTTAACAGCAAATGTACTACAAAGCTCAAAATACTTCACAATACTCGACAAAGGAAGAAATGAAAAGCGCATAGAGTAAGCCACGTGCTTAAAAGCTTGAGGTATACGAAGGCAAGTAAATTTCGGTATTGTCGATCCACCGGGTTTCGCGACCCCAAATCGGACCGATGGCTCTCTTGTGTACTCTGGTTAGAGTCTCTTCAAACAGCGCCTTCTCCTTCGAATTCAGGTTCTTAGTGATGAGCTGCAGAGCAAGGTGGGAGAAATCAGCTTTATTCTGTTTCGTTTAAACTTAAAGGTGTACTTATGGTAGCTAGTAAGTTGTACGTTGTGCCAAATGAACTAATGCATTGTTCCAATCAGGTAGCATTGCAGTGAATTCTCGAACATAATTGGAATACAGCCTAGTTGGAAGCGGTTCAGGGGTTGCATATTCATGCCAGTAATCCGCTGAAGATGTGGAACTATGTGTCAAGCTGATCTCAGTAAAAAGGGACAGATATCAAAACACCGTTTATTATGCCCTGCTAAATCGCCTCTTAGCGTAAAAACATTGGCAGGAAGCAAAGCGAACGGAAAACTCGGACACAAACTATGGCCCAGGTTTTAAGGCAATGGAAAAAAATCCTCAGAACTTTCACGCAGAATAACAAAAGATGTAAGTTAGTACCTTAATATAAAAAATGCAGGTCAACATTCGATTGTAAATGTGATCACCCATAAAAGGCTGAGTAGTACATGAGGTAGTACCAACGACTAGACTTCAAGCAGAACCGTTTACGGCAAAAATAGCTGGAAAACATGACCCAAATACCGAAATAACAGAATATGTTGTCTATAAACAATCTCAGTCGACAGAGATCAGTTTGATCAGCAAGTGTTTACCTCAAACACAAAGGAAACGACGGTCTGTTGATGATTGATGGTCAAGGGTTATAGAGCACACTACTTCATTTACCAACAAAAATTTCCTTCTACTCGCCTTTAATAAAAGGGTGAAAGACCTCACTTAAGAGTTGATTAGTTACCTCTGACTAACAAGAGGGATTAGTTTCGCAAAATAAATACTTACATAAGGATAATTGTTGAATCAATTAGTATAGAACAAAGCGATCATCCTTACGCTTACAACAGAGACCAACAACCGCCAAAATGTTTTCAGTTGAGAAATAATAGAGGAGACAGAAATATGGGAACAGACCGTGGTGATGTCGTTTTTCTCACCGCCAGATCCGCCAATTTGACAGAGTGCTACAATAGCCTCCTCGGCGGCGGTGCAGACATTGGTAATTTTGTCCTTTGAGGCGGAGCACAGGGTGTTGACGAGATTCAAGAGCCATGCAGGTGGAGGATCGGTGATACTCCTCTCATTTCTCTTGAGGAGGCTGCGCAAATTGATTCGACTCGCTATGCAACAGACTATCTTTGCTACCAGCACACGATCCTCCGGTGAGCTCAGTTTCAATCCCTATTTAATAGGAGCAAAATAGCTGGTTAAAGGACCTTTTCGACGAGAATTAGGTATTAGAGTTGTCAACTGGATGTTCAAGTGCTATTGAATCGTTTATGATACTAATTTCAAATGCCCTCCATAGTACAATAATCAGAAGTACAAATGCAAGGAAGCCTCTCAAATTAAGTCTAAAAAGCTTGATCAATGTCGAAGCTTTTAGCTTCAAAATAATCAGACCAGTTGGATAAGTCCATTCAGTTGTTTGGTTAACTGGTAACACAGTTAGTTGTAAGGTAATGCTCATTCTTCTAATGTTAGGATATGCGCTGACATTGCAAAATCATCTCAGGAAAGCATTCAGACAGTACCATGAATTTTATTCTGTGCCACTTTAATTGGGATGATCATTTGCAAGTAAGAAATTCTAAAATATATTCTTTTCAACTTGAACGAACTAATAGATGGAGTCTTTACTGTAATGTTCAACCAAATCATTTGATTTAGCAAAGGCGCCGAATTTATATCGCCTATTAAAAAAGCAATCCGTAAATATCATCGACTGTACGTTTGGTACACGCTTTTCGGTTGTAATATTCAGATCACAAACTGTGATGTGAGCATTTGTAAGCAAGTGACACATCGACAATGAACTTGAGCAACCAATGAAATCGTGCCGTTGGCAAACGATCGAAACCAGCTAGTTGACCTTTCTTGCTCATAAAAGATCCAGGCGTTAAAAAATTTGAAAGCAAACTCACTTGGGCGATAATTTTGACCAGGCTTAAAATTTGTTCTTCCGATTTGCCTTCCACAATAGCGGAGTGAAGGAAAAATCCCAAAGTTCGGTAGCCTGCTTGACGCACCTCACTTTGCTGAAATGGATGAATGAGAAAGCGAATATGGGCATGAACAACACAACAGGCGCACATGTTGGCTAAAACTCACATCATTCGTGGTGCAGCACTTGGTGATGATGAAACGACACTGCTCGTATACCTCTTCAAAGTTGCTCTGAATAAGTGTCTTTGGAGACGATAACGAAGCCACCATTACCGCCTGAGCGTAACTTTTGAGGACCAGCGGTGTTTCTAGAAATGGAGAGCATAAATACACCCTTCAGTTAACGAAAAAATGGAAGCGTCTTCAAAAAAATGACAAACAATCAAGCGCACATACATACACTTTATTCCAAAAGTAAATGACATTTATAAGGCATACTCAAGATTTGTTGAATAGTTCTAATAAAAACGGTTCATTTCCAAGCAAGCAAAAATCATTGTTATTATAAATTGGTCGTCAGACAATGCTCCCAAGGTATTCTTAATAACTTTTGATAAAAACTTTTGTCAGACCAATTTAGGATCCTTCAAAAACGAAGCATCTCTGAAAAGGGCCATCGGGAGTATGTATTTGAATAGATACGAATTTGTGTTAGATCGAATTCCTTGTGCAGGCAAATTGGGAGCCTCTCGTGAAGAGTTCAAATACACGGTGTCATGACAGATTAAGGCTTTGAATCCAATTACTTGTAGTAAACATTTTTGCGAGACGATGTACTTAGGTCTTATTAGGCATTGTTAATGAGTCAACTCAAGTGATCCAGGCCTGAGCTTAGTAATTCGAAATCGCTTTCCCAAAAGTAAAGGCATTAAAATACCAAGCTTATTCAGAAAGTCAAACAAACTCTTGTTCTTAAAGAACGCATGCTCAAAAATTAGCTTCAAAAAGGCGCTAATCTCCCAGATACAAGGTAACTATCAAAGAACTACCCGGAATAGAGGTGGAAGACTGACACCACGGCATCAAGTCAATGACGTCAGAGGCAGTTATATCGACGATGGCAGAGGCGGAGGCAATGGAGGCGCCTACGCAGGCATTGGCGGCCCCTCGTACGACAGCGACATTGACCGTCGCGTCGATCTTACCCGCTCCTACGTCGTCATCGAGACGGCCAAGTGGAGTCAAATAATCAATCACAGTGCGTAGGGTGGCTAGTTTTGGCTTCCCGATGGATTTTTGCAAACAGTTGCGCAGGCACTGAAGCAGAGTATCTCTGAAGACATCCAGAAGAATTATCACATGAAACAATGCACTCAGAAGGCTTCTATAGTTATTATAACTCCAAATGAGGTTTCAGTATCTTCCGATTGTAACTTAAAATGGATTCATCAATGCATAAGCCTAAATCTATGCTATCTCCTAAGCCACTTGTGCAGATTATCGCATAGAATGTGATATGACTCAGTTCAGCCATCAACGACACCAGTTGCTAAATCATTCCACACTTCAATGATGGTGCTTTATGCCGATGACGTACCGTGCGAGAATAAGTGCTACAACAAAGCAAGTTTAAGCAGGCCAAATGAAAGGCCTGAGGTGAGCTATTCCCTTCCACTTTCCATATCATTCAAAACCTTGACAAAGTGCGGCATAACTTTCACAAATAACATTGAAAATGAGTACTTTTCAGCCCACCACTGTTATTGCAATCCATGCTGAGAGAACTTAGTAGATAGCCGGTAGTCGCTTTCGCCAAGAAACCGACAGAGCACAAAACTGCTTAATGATGCTTAAGATCGGCCAATCCTACTCCAGTAGAATTTCTCACTCCAACCAAATTTATGGTTTGAATGCCTCTGAGGGTTTTCGTCGAAAGAAAGGGTAGACGAGTCAATATTAATAATGGCATAACTCCGCCACTAGTTAAGTGTTTGCCTAGATTTGACAAAGGCCTTTATTTTGGAGTATAACCGTGGTAGATATTATAGTTGGTGACAGAGTGAATGCAATATGGAGGTCTGCTTCCAATAAAATACTCCATTGACAATGAGCTTAAAAGTATTCTAACTCAAACTTAGCATTGACGGATTTTCACCTTGCAAACATATTCACATGGTGCAACGTTACGAAGAGGCATAAACAAGAAGACATGAACTAGCAACAACACTAATATCACTTGTTCAAGCATCAACGGCTTGGCTACATAGTTCACGAGTGAAAAAAGAATGCTTTTCAAAACTACTTCACGTATTTAAACGTCCAACAATAACTTGAATCAACTGCTGGAAAACTGACGCATATGTGGCCGCAGCAGTAAGTATTTGTTGATGAAGTCCGAGCGGCCGATTGGCTGGCGGATTGGCAATGGTGACGCCGAAAATGGTGGCTAGGATGGTGCAGATGTCAACGAGTATGGAATCCAGTTTGGGTGAGATGGCTAACACATTGGCTAAACCCAGGCCGCCTACAAGACGAATCTCCTTCGCTCCATCACTCAGCACCTTCGAGAAGGTGGCTAACAGTTGTGGTGAGAAGGGACGCGTAGAAGTTGGGCACTGTGTAACCGGAAGAGAAAATAGATTGCTAATTTTATTTGTGTTGTGAACAGCAATGCAATCACAAAAGAAATGTGAATTAAAAAGACCAATTTTAATTTTAGCCATTCTTTCATACGGTAACCTAGGTTGCATGCGACGTACCACACGGATTTAAGCGAAGCGAGATTTCAGACCTGACATGAAGATGGTTATATTTAACATATCTCCAAAATATGGTCGTCAACTACCCTTTCAAATCATTCAAGATTTCGAAATGAGGAATAAATTTGTAAAGCATCCTTAAGTTTACAAAGACCAACCCCTTGCTTACAAACTAGGATGGATCGCACTCAGATTATTCAGAATAAGTCATGCAACAATTCAAACAACTGCAACATTTTGACCGACTACAATGGTATGGCTGACCGCTTGCGCCGCAATTGACAGACGCTTGGAATGACTATTATCATGACATTCTGCATATCTCTCAGAGGATGCAGATTCATCCTTGTGGCACGAACCCCCATCTGCACCAATTATGCTACTTTGTCCTCAAAACCTCTGGTGAGGAATTATTGATCATTAAATTATGCATAGCTTAGTTGTTACAAATAGACATCCCTTTTACCCACGTGGCACCCCTAGAATAACTTCATAGCCGACAGTGGAATTGTGTACTATTAAAAAACGAAAGCACTATCTTCCGCATCTGACCCATAGAAGAGACATCGCCAGAAATTATTCCTCTGCTCATGAAATGGGATTAATTTATCCACTACTATAAAAGTACATTTCAAAGAAGTCATGTATGCAGTTATGCACCGAACATTCCGATAAAGAATCACTTATTCGTAATGCTACAAGAAACCTCATCATTAGCACACAAACGGCTTAAATAGACAGGAATAAAGGGCAAACCTTCTCAACAAGAGTGGCCAAACTTTCAGTAACAGCAGCTCGGACGACGGGCGGTTGTCGTTCGCCCAGCAGACGAATCATGGGACCAAGAACCTTGACCACACAAGGCTGAATGGCCTCACCACTAGACAGAGCAACACACTCAGCAAGACCCTGAGCAGCGGGCTCCTTGGCATCGACGCCACCTTGGAGTATACAGTCAGCATAGAAGCGCACCAAAGAGGGCAGAGGCAGAGTGGGCTCGGAAAAGCCAGGAAGTAGCAGTGATCGCCCTGTCACCACATCCTGTGTACGTTCACGCTGCATTCGCAATTGGTTACTAACAAAGTCCACAGTGGCCGCCTTGATAGCCTTCTGAAGTTCGACTACGTTGTCGCCAGGAGTCAAATTGGCAGACCAATACTATAAAAAAGATTTGATTTTGAAGGTATTGTGAATCGCTAATCGCGCAATACCGACTCTTTTCATCAACCATTCGTAGAATTAAAAGTGGAGATCAATCCCAATGCAGAATCCCAGTTGATGCCATATGAGATTTCAAAGGGTGAGTAGAGGATGGATATTAAGGGATTCCAGGGTCTCAGTATCGAGGCGGAACAGTAAGTCTGATAGTACGAGCTTCAACAAAAGTAACCAAGCACAACATTCGATATAAGCGATTATCTGAGAATTTATTTCGCTACCTTCAACATATTTACTACTGATTCGAGAAGGATGACAGATTTGAGCTTATGGTCGACGTGATTAGAATTTTATAAACCCAGCATAGTGTTAGTGGCATGAATTATTCAAGCTTTTCATATACGTCACAATCCGAAATCCACTTTAAATAGTTTTTGGTTGGCCTAAATTACTGTGATTTAATTTTACTAGCTAGACACCATCACAAACCAGGACAGACAATAATTTACCACACAGCAACATAGCAATTACGAAGGCAACATTACAAAATACAATTATTTTTAACAGGCTTTATTGACAATGATAGCTTAACACTATCTACACAATGATAACTAATTAGGATAATTTTGTGGGCTAATGTGCCTGTTCAAGGAGGCAATTGATGGAAGTGTCCCAATTAGGCCTAAATGATACGATTTCGATCAAGTGCAACAAAATCTCCTGCACCCATACTAGCAAAAGCACATTCGCCGTCAGACAATCCATGAATATTGACAACCAAAAGAAACAAATTAAAGGATATTAACTGCATTTAAAATTTGAGCATATGACTTGATGTAATCAACTGATACTTAGAGGTCTTACTTTAAGAATAGTCTCCAGACAGGCCCAGGCAAAGGTCATTAAGGGCAAGTCCTTGACAGCAAGAAGCTTGGAGAGATTTCGCAAAAGTGGTGGATAGTAATCGGGCAACAGGCGCCTCAGTGCTTCCTTTGGATCTCTTGGTCGGAGGAATACATCACGGTAATCCGATGAGTCACCATCATCGCCATCACTAAGATTGTTTCCAGTAGTGGAATCATCATCATCATCGCCTAGTCCTCCTGATCCGCTGTCGCCATCCCTATCATCATCGTCAGATTCATCTGCCGTAATTTTGTTAACTCTTCGGCGAACAGGAATCGATTGGGGTCCCTTCCCTTCCCCTTCCTCACTATCCACAAGAAAAGCCTCCAAGTAGACGTTAAGAAGACGTAGACAAGCGTAACAGTACTCTGACGTATTGGGCTTCAAATTGGTGAACTCAATTTGCGTAGCGTTAGAGTCACTTAGAGAAAGACCGGTAATGAGTTCCTGTAGAATGGTTCGCACGGCAGTAGTATCACTGATAGAAGCGAGAACGATACTACAGTAGCGCAGATCCGCATTTTCTTTCGCGCACACATCAACACTCGCCGCAGTCTCTAAGAAAGCAGGTAGAATGCGGTCGAGATGGCGCGCCAGTGAATCCCCGGCAATAGGGGCGAGATAGGCAAAAGTTCTGGCATCTAGACAAGGATGAGTGAGCTTTGGCACAAGATAAGGCATCACAGCTCGACCTCGGATGGCTAGGAGCTGGCAAAGGCCTTCCAGAGCAAAGTCACGTTTCTGTGGGTCGTCAAGGTGGGCAAATAGTTCGGGGAGAATCTCGTCAATAGCTCGAAGATGGACGGCGCTATAGAGTAGATCAAAGGCACGAGCACCAGTGGCCCGAACCTCCGCCGATGGATCGACCAAACTTCGACGAATTGGTGAGGTCAGACGGTCGGAGAAAGAGGCAATCTATGGTACATGTTGGGATTTTGCTTATCAATTAGCGTAATTCAGATAACGCGCGCAAAAAGGTCAATTCAGAGCGAGTTATATGTTCCCTTAAAAACCAATCGCAAATTGCTGAACGTATAACAACAAGACTGTTGGAGCCCATTTGCTTCACCTGTTCTTTTTACAAAACTGGATTTTTTTATAACTAGAGCCGTTATTGAGGTTTTGACGTCTAGTGGTATCATGCAGTGCTGAGATAACTCCACATGCCTCAAGTAATATCCTTAACAAGTTCCAAAGTCTATGAATTACCAAGGCATCCCCTTAGGTCATTAGCATCCGCCCAAAAGGAAACCAGCTAATTAAGTGAGGGCATACTTGTTCCGGCTGGCAGTTGTTCATGATGTCGATGAGACCGTTGCAAACACCCCGACGTTTGTTTTCATCTGGTGAATTAAGACCCTCTTCCAGATGTGGAATCACCTCAGGAAGAACGCGCTCACCCAACTTTTTCACAAGGTCACCTAGAGCCCGACCAGCAACCTGAAAAGGTAAATTTCGATTGGTTGATCTGTAATCCCCTTCGACACCATTCACAAAACCATTGCAAAAATCGATGCCTTATTGGTGTTAAAGTATACCCAAAGGATCAAATCGAAGCAATGAAATGGATACCATTAACAGTCAACTAGCTATTAAATAATCAATGCATAAAAATTAGCGGAAAAGTAGTGTAGCTGATACGCCCACTTTCGATGCCATTAGTTGGCATGGCTGTATAAATCGAATCAAATTACCTATATGCTAAACACATGGTATTTGTTAAAACTTCTAGCCCCTGGACAAAGCATTAATGCCACAAATCACTCAGAAACTCATCTACTAGTTCCTGACGTTCACTTCTGTTTCATGGCAAGAATAGTAATCAGTTAGATGCTAAAATCCCGAACGATCTTCAAGCGCATCACCCACACATCCAAAATTGGCATTTCCAAGCAAATCCACCGCAATGCGCATTTCATTTTGCCTTTTGGAAGCTAACTGCACCTACTAACTCCCAACATTCAACCTATAAGCATTTGAAACTGACTCACCTACTTCTAGACAAAAAGGCCTTAAATGGATTCAACAGCCTGATTTTCTCATCAAAGCAACAGCGAGATACTCAATGCTTTGTAATAGTAACTATTCAATTGGATTCGATTTTCACCACTTGGAGTTCAGATTTTGCAAAAGTTTGCAAAATTCCAAGCACATTTCAAATCACAATTTCCTCTTTGACTTTGCATGCATCATGATATTTGCATATTCCATCACTCTGCACTTTGGCTGATAGAAAGTTCCATTAGAAGCAAAAGTCAAGTACTACCGACAATGTGTCAAATTTAAGCCTACCACATTTCACCTTCAAATTGATGTTCATGATTACAGCCTTCAAGTTATTTTAGACATCGTAAATAATTTGGGCACAATAAAGTAATGAAAGAAGAGCCGGATGCAACAATGTAGACAAAACCTGTTGGTGTTCCCGCAGAGTGGATCCCAAGGAGGTGAGAAGCTGTTGAACAAGAACAGGCAGAAGTTCGCGAAGAGTGCGTGGTGTGTTGACCACCACAATCTTCCAAATGTGGCTGGCCGCACTGCGCACTGCATAGGTGGGATCAGAGCGCGCAATGTGGAGACGCGCCAACACGCGATTGCGCCGCTCCTCACCTAATGCCTTTAGGATTTTCTCACTTGCCACATCAGTCCCAAATGTGTCGTCCTCGTCGACGGTCTAGAGTTGGGCAAGATTTTCAAGATTTAAAGGAATAGCTTTCTGAATATTTTAGGGACATTTTGCCAAAAAATGCATAGGTTATTCATCTAAAATGCAACGAAAAAGCGAAAATCCACCTTTGAATGTTCTACGTCTGCCCGAATGAGGCCTCACGGACCTTTAAACAACATGTCTTTGATTAAAGTTAACTTTTACAAGTCACGACACGGAAGTCTGGCTCTACTTAACATGACTGCTAGATGTAGTGCATGTTTCCATGTTTACAGTTTTCAAAAACATATAAGCAATTAATTCGCTTGCCGTCATAATCCCGGATGACTATTTTAAGGATAGAAAACAACACTGTTTTTAGTAAATAAAGTCAGACTTTGAAGATACTTTCTTCAGTTCACACTTTCAGTCTTAATTAGCCCTGAAACCTAAAATCCTTCCTTCGATTTCTGAACTTTCCACCCAAGAGTGCATCATCCATTTAAGTAAGTAGGTTTGGCATTTGGACACCAATCTTCCTGATGGTTTGCTGTGGATGAGTCGAGAAATGGCCAAAAAAGTCATGCACGCGTAATGGAGATTCCATCAAATAATCAAATTAATCATGAGATTTCGATAATTTGAATTCTCCGCATGTTTTGCCCTCGATTGGCAGAGTTGGTAGAGCTCGCCACCAGACCTTCATTGGGTTTAGATGCAATTCGCGTGGTTACCATGTTGAGAGTAGGAGACTTAATTCAACACCTGTGTTTTGGTGACTCGCGCCGCAAATAGGATGCATTAAACTTACCTGTCAATGTCATTTGTGGTTTATTCACTAAGTTTGCTCAGTGCGTAAGTTTTGTCAAACCATATAATTTAGGGGATCGGATTGATGCGAACTCACGCCTGAATGAAGAGTGAAAACTACGCAGATTTTAAGGCTATATATAAACGTCAAGGCTCCAGTCTTAGCAGTCGAAAGCATTCCTAAACATGGCGCAATCTTTGCACCACCCATCCTCAACAAATGCGCATTCAACACTAGGCAGCACAGTGCAAGCGAACTTGGATTAAGTTACTTCGACAAGAAAGGGTAAAGAAATTCGCTGACATTACGATTGTCAAAAACATATAGAGCAACAGTCAAAGGACACACGTCTACCAGTAGGTTGGCAACAACCTTTGTGCCTGTGCTTTCACTAAAAAATCTCTGAATGGAGAAAATATCAACAAATGCAGAGCTGTAAGCCGTTTTATCCCACAAGAATCAGATACATCTGCGGCCATTCTACTAACCGGCACAGTTTTTCAAAAAAGTAATATTTTATCATACTTATAGTAAAATGAGGGGCAAAAATAATGTCTTATGTGAAGCCCATTCATTGAGGACAACTACAAAAAGCTTGCAAAGGAATTGTGATACCCGCTATTAAAAAATTGTAACGACTTCACTTTCAAGTGCAATTATAATTATCTCGGATTTAAGCAAGGGCAAAATTCGCTCTAGAGCAAAAGTATGAACAAGAATACTTAATTCCATGCAAGGCACAGGTGACTTTAAATATTGTAAAAATGAAAGGTTGTAAGCAAATTGGCTTATAACGGCGCACCTGTTCTCCGGATATACAGACATTTAACAAGCAATGTCTCAGACTGCAATACCTTTGTAGTTCCCTTTCCAGACACCCCAGAAAGTTTATAGAGGAGGTCACCGGTGAGGTGGAGCGAAGAAAGTCGAATTCGCCATTCGACGCTGAGCAGGCCCTTCTCCAGTTCAGGCAGCAATAGTTCCACAGCCTCATTGGCAAAGAGATCAATGATGCGCTGACCCGCTTTCAGAGCCGTCTCACGAAGGTACTCGCATTCATCAGCAAGGGCCTAGACAAAGAGTGTAGAAGTCCTCTCCTCCATTCGCATTGGTTACAAATTAAAAAATGCAGTGCACAGTAAAGGAAGGAAGAAATAGTTGAATATGAATCAAATTTATAAACCACGTGATCCAATATGCTTTGAGCACTGTGAAGCCTTAATAGAACGTGCTGAGAGAAATTCTTAGACTATCTCGAACTCACGTAAAGCTGATTCTTGCAGTGTGAAAAGTTATTACCATCCTTAGAATTCAAAGCATAAAATCTAAGGTCTGAAGTAACACTAACCAATTTATCATTGACAATGATGTTCTGGAGTGACGAAGGTTTTAATGAAATGCTTTAGTTGTAAGATATACAGCTACTATCCCCGCGTTGAACAATACATTTCCTCTCAGCCACTTTAATGACCGTTTTTCGAGTCGGTATGAATAAAACGAGAGGTACCGGACTTGAGTCCTTCCACCCTTACACAATCAATCGCACAAACCTCAGCCGTATTCATTGAGATGCGGACCTAGAAGTGCAAAGAGCTAAAAATTTCTAGGTAACACGAACATTGTTCAGATTGGAAACCGTATTGTGTAGTTTACGCGAAGTACTATGGCAAGAACTCGACGTTAGGTGCAAGTAAGAGAACAATTAAGCTCTCAACCTAATAAGCACTTTCTATGCACAAGTGCCAAACAATGCACTAATGGACATTCCGATACGAAATCACTGCGACCGGTGGAACAGAGATACCAGAGACAATCGACCCCTGACCTTACCAAAGTAACTAAGGCTAACCTAAATAAATAACATTTTCTTTAACTCGTTGACAAAGTAAGGCTGCCAATAGTGAGATGCATAAAATTTCTTTAGGCATTACAGACATGTCGTTTATTAAGCAGTTTTTTTTTCTACAAAAACAGAAAAGAAATTGAACCTCAACGAAATATCGATAAATTTACAGTTTGAGCATTGTTTGATAAAACAAAAACCTATCCTACTCTGAAGCAAAAAGGAGACAACAATAAGTAACACAATCGAACCATGTTTCAGAATCCTCCTATCGAAATATGTTTTCCCATTGTTTTGGCCTTATTCGAGAGGTGCATGACAACTAGGGAAGGAGGATGATCAATTATTACTATTCCAAAAGGACCATCCATCTCATCCGTTTGTATCATAAAAATCTTCAGAGAACTACGAATGGATTAGAAGGGAAAACTAAAAACCCAATAGGTGAGAACCAATCAATGGAAAGACAGAGAGGACTGACCTTAAGAATAGGCGAGAGGATAGGAGCAATGAAGGGTGAAAATTCGTTGCGGAAGACCTCAGGTAGATAGATGAAAAGCATGAGGTATCCGTCACGCACATATGGCTGCACGTTAGTGGACTCCGCAGTGCGAATGAACTCAGGAAGGATGGATTCCAGTCGCGGTAGGCCCATTCCACCCAGTACCTCTGCCAAACCCTGAGCAGCGCCCGACCGGTCCACTGAGGACTGTTCCGACGTCAACGTCGCCATCAGCCATGGCAGGAGATCCTGAGTGAGATCAATAGGAAAAGGATATGAAACTAAAAACAAAATAGTCTGCAAAATATCACTGACTTCTTCAAGTGCTTAAAACATTGCAATTGGGGACTTTGCAAGCAACTGGACAAACGGACATTTTATAAAGCCAAATATTTGTGTAAATAGTGATTGCTCAACTTGCATCAACCAACATCACGAGAAATGTGTGTATATAAATTAAGGTGTTTTCCCCATCACAGTGAAAATATACTATAGAGTTAGTTCTTCGTCAATCAGTTTAAGTGTTTAAACATGATTCATCAATGAAGATTCGAAGTTCACCTAGTCTGCAAAGTTAAACATTTGTCAGATTCTCAATATAAAATTAACCAAGCCCGAGAAGAGGCCACCAATCATGACCACCGTTTAAGTCTTCAATCCCTTAAAAAGCTGCGTGTTATTGAGACCGATTGTCCAAGTAATTTACATAACAGATTTTTTTACCCTCTAATTGTACCTAATGCTCAAAATTCAATTTATGCATGATAGAGCAGTACTTGAGTTAATAATGTTATTGATGCGCAATCATAACACCTTGAAGAGCAGAGCACAAAAGATCAACCACAGAGTCGGGTCAAGGGACTGTTTAACGATACAAACATAGGACTGAAAAAACGTCGTTTTGGATAAATCAAATGCTTAGTCTAGGTGTGGAAGTAGATAAAAGTCCCATTTTGAAACCGATTGAAGGGAAATTATTTAAAACCGATTCCGCATTCCTTTATAGGACCAATGCCACATATGGAATAATTTCATCAAACTACATCTCAACACTTTACTGATGCCCAAAGAGCAAGACTTGAACCCTTTTAGTATTAATCAACACACACCCATCTCACAAAACAGCGGTTGAAAGGCAAAGGTGTAGCCCGGCTCAGTGAAGAAAGAATTGAAAGACTGTTACGCATAACAGCGGAATAACTCAAAAACGCAAAGTAGTGAGCAACATATCAAGATCTTTTGCAGGAGAAACTACAATCCGGTTTTAAAGGCGAACCGAGAAGAATACTTATTCACCAGTTGCTAATCTCTAATAAGTAATGTAAATATGCACTGCTCCAATTCACTAATGGTAGATGAAGGCCAGCAGAAAGTAATGCTATTTTCCTACGCATAGAGAGTTTCATCACAGAATCAATCAAAAAAATCAGAAAAATTTGCACAAAATACCCACTTTAGATGAAGAGTAACACTGCCTTCACAATTAAGCTTATAATATAATCATTCGGGCAGTATCAGAACAATTTGGTGAATTTGTTACAGTTCCTTGTGAAGCGAGAGGAAGACCGTAATGCATTTCCCAGAATCTGCCAATAAGTACTCTGCAAATGAACCTCCAATTAGCACCATGGGATAGCTTCAGAACAAAACTACACCACGGAGGGACTCAACAATTTAAGGGAACCAGACTTTGATCAAAACAAAGATAATAAGCGAAAATAAGACAGGTGAAAGTTTACATACCTTAGAACAGGCCTCACCAATGCCTCGAACCATGGCTCCAAGGGCGCGCGCAGTGACGGAACGCACCTCGGGTACTGGGTCGAGGAGGCAACACCGCAGACCGGGCATGATCTGCACGATGTAGGGCTCGAGGTCTTCTCGACGCGCGAGAGTGTAGAGAGTGCCGAAGATCTGCGCCGCCGCCTTGCGAATTGACGTGGAGCGATCATCGAAGGCACGGTGTAGTACGGGCATGATAAGCGCCAGGCTAGCAGCATCCACCACATGGGTGAAACAGGTGTCCCGTAGAGTCATGAGACATGTCCCTTTGTCGGTCAGCGGGTCCTGCAGGCTTTTGATCAGACAGGGTACAAGCGCTATTCGAAACAGAAGAGATAACCAATTAGTTACTCACATCTCTTTCCTTTCTCTTTATTGAGCATACGGTGCTTTCCAATTTGAAACAATAGATAAGAATGTAGAAGACGGGATAAAAGGATTAAAACCGCCTTTTAACTCCTTCAAAAGCCATTATCAAAACCACCCAGGGTAGGATAGACTCAAAAAAGTAATGGGTGACTCATACAATGGATATAAACAAGATTGTCGGTGCTTCTTAATCGTAAAATCCTCCCATTATTATAGCAAAGCGATTCTTCATAGCAGTGACCAGATTCAACGCCTATGATAGGCTCACCTGTGTCAGGCGACTCATTCACAAGATAGTAACCGATTAAGTGAGTATCTTAGGCCTTAAAAGTTTATAGCGTTGAGTCTTTATAATCTCTTGGCTAAACGGATGAAAACTGTTGCCAGTTTATGCAAGTACTTGGATTTATTACTGAACATACACAGCAAGGCCAATAAGGTCGCATCACTTAAACAGCGCCAAGATAGATGTAAAAGTAGTACCGAAACGGTCTATTTGACATATTATTGTAACCATGGTCAAATGGAGTTATCTGAAAAGTATGTTGGCTCATCAAAGTATCTGGATAAGCGACGCAGTATACAAAGTCGTCAATTTATAGCAAACTAATTTGCGACTCCTAGATGCAGTAGTATTTCTGCTTCTGAGAACTTCACAACCAAAATTATTATGCGAATAAGCAAGAAAACTGCCACGTTGAAGTAGTTTGGCTCACTTGAGAACCCTCGTTTCGTGATTGCCGTTGAAAGCCAGTAAGGCGTAATCAAACACGTGGCTGTCTAGCTACCACACCTCCTCTGACCTTTAAAACGGTTTACAATAAGTTGAATCAAATTATCTAGAAGGGGAGAAGGCATTGCGCACCTTGGACCTCAGGGTTGCGAATAACTGTTCCGATTCGCTCCAGAGCACAGGCACCAGCTTTCTTGAGGTTCACTTGCGCGTCTATCAGCACAGTGAGAATCCGAGGCACAATTTGCGGTAGACAGGAAGAGAGCTGTTTGGGTGCGCAGCTAGTCATTGTACCCAATACCTCGACCGCCTCTATAGATGGAGGGATATGTAAGCTTGTCGTGGAGATTGACGCACAAACGGGTAAAAAGGGACTTACGGCACTTTGTTCGCCAAGGATTGTCCTCATCAATGACTTTAAGAAGAAGTGGTAGAATAAGTTTGATGCCATGCGCACTGAGTTTGCTCATCACGGCCCGACTGGTGACTGAAGCGGCCTAAATGTGCATATAGGTTGAAGGCAGTCCAAATAAAAAAAATTGAAGGTTTAAGTGCTGTGCGGATCGGCAGTTACCTCGCGAACACCCAGATTTGAGTCTCCAAAACAGCTGAGCAATTGAGGGACGAGTTTCACTACATAGGGTTCGAACAATCGGCCCAACACAAGCGACAGGCGTTCAAACGCGAAAAGAGCACCTCGATAAAAGTTGTAGCATAAAAATATTGAGGAGTTAAACGAATTCATCAATACCCCACGAGAGGGCAATAGGGTATGGCTATGGCCATGGCCCACGAACTACGTTATTGTCTCTTAAAGGTAGAGCATAAGCGAGTTTTGCTGGCTAGCCTTTACTTTCTATAGAGAAATATTTTAACCAGACGGCTTAGTTTCTCAAAAAGCACTCCACAAAAATCAACCAAAAAGGGTATGTGAAGCTATATTCCCAAAATACCAATTGGTCCAAAAAGATGCAATACGAACTAAAAATATTGCCAGTGATGGGTGACAAACCGTAAGAAACGCATTATGTACTGCAAATGCAAACGTCAGTGGAAAATTGAATTTCTTCTATCAGTTTGGCGTATATTGACGAAATTCAATAAAAAGGTTAAGAATTCAAGAAGATAAACGACAACGCCGTGTCAGAAATGCAAATAAAACAAACCACTTTCGTTATAAATCTTTAACTAGTTCTATCAAACTGTCTCTGCACAACATTAGATACGAAGGAAGAAATGGAAGAATTAAACTTTTTCACTGCCCCCAAGCTACGGTACCTTTAGGCCAATTATACGGTGATGACTTACTCTCTTTAAACTTGGGATTTTTGTCTTCCAAAGCTGATAGCAGCCTATCAATTATGCCCTTCTGTCTCAGTGTGGCAATACCACATCCGCGGACAATGCCAGCCAGAGCGTACGCCGCTCCACGCCTTTCCGCGTAACCCAGAGAGGAGAAAAGCGTGGTCATAAGACGAGGAAAAACTTTCTCCAACTGATCGGCATGCAGCTTCGGAGCCAGTGGTGTCATTGCATCCTCGACAGCCCTTTGCACCTGAACGCACATAAGATAGGTTTTACCGTTGAAAGATAATATTGAATGTCCAAAAACGGAAAAAGAAACTATTTTCAGACAAAAAGCGCCCAAATCTTCGCTTTTGGAAACCCAAATTGGGTACCAAAAAAGTTCGTTTTTACCAGTTGCTATAACTCCACTCGTATTTGTGAAGTCGCATTCGGGTGAGAAAGATGCGAGGTCGCACTTACAAATGAAAAGAACTGCTAAAACAACTTTACGTTAACATATCAGGGGCACGACTTTATATTCTTGCACCTCTAACACTCTCAGTCATTCAGATAACCTGTGCATCTACCTAGATGGCTCCTAGGTTAACATTAAAGCGCTTTCCCAAATTTCCTAGGAAAAGTAGGATAATTTGTGGCTATTGACAGTACTTACCACATCGGCAGGAAAACTGACAGCTGAAAGGAGACGATTAAAAATAGCCCCAACTCGAGAGTCCTCCTGTCCAAGGTATATCGCCAGAGAGCCCAGAAGGACAACAACAGACTGTCGGACCATGTCCAGCTCCTCTATGTTCGGTGCTTTGTTTAAAAAAGTTTCCAAAATTGGGAGTAATTGCTGCAGGTTTGTCTATGAAAGCAGCAAAAGGGATGTTATTCTACCACCTAAGGGGGACGAGAAAACGAGAATCCAACCCTACCACTCCATAATTTCGAGTAGCCCCAAGACCGGCCTGTAAGAGGGCACATCGCACTTCCTCCTGTGTGTCGTGTAGACCCTCATCCACAAGAAATCGGAAAATCTTTTGAAGCCACGCGCCTGCCTTCTGCTGCTTCGCGTTCACCTCCTCGGCAGGAACAGCTTCTTGCTCGGAGGCTAGATAGTAGCCTGGTGTCCGAGAACAACTCACGATAGCTTCAAGAGCATGTGCAAGACCAATTCGCTGCATAGTATACTTTGGCGGTAACTGCTCAATCGGCTTTCCATGGGAATCCACCTTTGGCTGGGGTTTCTAGAAAGCAAGAAGGATAAATCAATGGCTTTTTTACGAATAAGGGAGGTGCCAGATATGGGCAGACACGTACTTCCATTAGACAACGATAAACGTCCAACCAGTAGTCAATGACATAACCAATCTCGTCTTGAGACTTTCCATTGAGACACCGCTGAAGGGCACAGGCAGATGCCTTTTGGATGTCAGCAGACTTTCTGAGGCACTCCAGAAGAAGTCGAGTCGCCAGCACAGCAGGAGGGAGGACGTCAGGGTCTTTTGGATGTTGAAGTAGGACAAATCGACGCCGCTGTTTTTGTTTTTTCTCCTCTCCATTTCCAATAGTCGTCGTTTGTTGATTTTCTTGTTGACATTTTTGTTGATCATCAACAGGTTCTGTATATTTTACCTTCTCTTCAGATTCACAACTGTCGCGCAAACCCACAGCGGCCCACAACCTTTAAAGCGGTGAATATGAGATAATTGAGGTACTTATTTGAAACTGTAACAAGTGAGATACTCAGATCCTACTAGACGCTCCATAATGAAATTATGTAAAATACCACGATGAAGATCTTAAGTCAACTAGTATATGAAAGAGTGGGAGGTTTCTGGCATCAGTGCTATGATCAAGGCAAACTTAGGCCACTGGCGATAGCGATACTCCGCATATGAAAGTACTTATAGTAAAACTACGAGTGTCTACTCATTCAGGAGGCCTCAAAAATGATATGTAAGTTACCGTGCTAAACTTCCCGTCGATTAGTTAATATACTGCTAAAAATTCACTCAAAAATGGTAAGCTGGATATCAAGGAGCAACATAAACAGTTTTTATAATTTACCTATCAGCGTCAACAGCCACTTCCACAAAGGGGTCGCATCGCGAGACAAAGAGTCTCAGTTGACTGTTAGCACTGTGACAGAGGATGGGCCAGTTAGTGGCGTCTGCAATGCTCTCATCCATATGCAGACCCTCACCCATGGCCTTATTAGAAACGGCCGCCAAAGCAGCTCGCTTTCTTTTCTTCTTTTGTGCTTTGTTCAGATTTCCACCGGGCAATTTCGTGTCAATGATGTCGGCAGCAGAAGCAGCATCCTGTTTATCCCCACCGTTATCTCCATTTTTACAGATGACACGGGTGACATTCGTGGTGATGGGAGGAGAGGGGGAATGAGTGAACAGATCCGGAAAATATTTTGCTAAGTTAATCATGCCCTAAAAGGATGTGGCAATCAAGTTTGATACTTCAAGTTGAATCCAAGCCAGTCGCTACCAAACTCACCGTCAAGGCAGAGGACCGAGTGAAATGCGTTGAAGCTACAAGACTTTCCATTAGGCCATAAATAATGGGGATTGTTGAGACCAGGATGATTTCTCTCTTTTCCGGTTGGCATTGCAGTATGTAAAGGAGGTAGTGAATGTGAAGTTGCACTGTATTTTGAAACACGTCGTTGGAAAAGGCTGATAGACCATCATCATCCGTACTGTTGCCTTGAACAATTAGACCCAACTCCAGAGCCAATGAGTGTTGTTCAATTAGGTGCAGTAGGAACTGGAAAGAATTAGGTCAGTAATTGCAAGGAGACACTACAAATTCATAAAGCCGCGTCAACTCACCCTATAAATAACATCGAATTTCAGTGCTTCACATAGCTGTAAATGGGAGCCAATCTCCTCATAAAATCCTTCGACTGGACGGACTTGATTCCAAATAGTAGCCAAAAATCCACCATAATGCGCGCAAAGGGCCCATCTCTTCGCATCTTCCCCAATGTTTTCGGCACCCTCTAACTTTTCTAAGTGCGCAAAAGTGGAGTGTTCAGCAAGGATTCTATCGAAAATGAGAATGGCAGCGGAGATGACGATACCCCCTGAAGCCGTTCGTTTCTTGATCTAAAAAGTAGGAGGAAAGATCACAAAACTGGCAGCATCACTGAAAAGCGGAAACGCCGTTCCCAGGCTAACATCTTTTCGAAGACACTCAGTAACTGCTTCAGATTGCTCTCGGAGAGTTGAAAATTGACAGAGTGCATGCCAATTCCCGTTTTCTGCGTAAATCGACTCCTCATCGACGAAAGAAGTGATTCGGAAGGAGGGAACCGGTGGCTGTTTGCTCAAATAAACTCGAGGGGGTGCCAAAACTCTGATTGACCAGGCGGAGAAAAGCTGGGCCTTCTGAAAACGCATCCTTGCGTCGGCAACGGCAGCAGACATACCTGCTTCAGCTATCAGACGTCCAAGACGACTGTGGGCGGCGATTACGAGGGGAGAGAGAAGGGGTTGTTGCAAAAGATTAATTGTGAGATTCCAGAGGTTAAAGGAGTTGCGCAATAGGAATTCAGTCGGAGCTGATTGACCGTCTTTACGCATATTAAGAAGGGTATCGTTTAGGATAGTGAGAAGGTTTACTAAGTGACTCCCCTCCTTGAAGAGCTAAAAAAACAGAGCCAAGGTTAATGCGGACATTCTTTTCAAACCAAATAGACCAGAGGTGAAAAACGCACTTTGGAAACGCAATTACGGATTCGTTCTTCCTTTTCCATCTCAGTTTTGACTAATTCGAGTTGATTCGATGTTAATTGGGGGGCAATAGAGGTCAGAAAATTGGGCTCCTTGCCATCAGCTTCCACCTGTTGCTCCTTTTGTTTTGCTTGGGCCTCTAAAATATCCATTTGAGTCTCATGAGAGTATAGTTTTCCTTCTCTCCTGATGTTGGATTTGTTTGTCTGGTATCGAGGAAGACTATCCAAGAGGGCTCGATTGTAAAGGGTGCCAGGTTGGGTCAACATTATTTCAACCTCGTCTGCAGTGACCTCGGTGTACTTGGAATTGGAGAGTTCAAAACACAGTCGAGTGGCCAGGCACGATGCAAATTTTACTGGAGACCATTCTATTAGCCGTTTCAACATCAAGCGATGTGCCTAGTAAAGTTGGAATGCAAAAGTTTGCTTCAGCATAAAATACCCAAGCTTGACAGTTTTCTCCCAAGTACAACAATATTAGTCTACCTAAGCGGCATATAATATAACTAAAAGATAGTTCAATTTCAAGACTTATATTTTGAAAATGAAATTGAATTAATCACCCCAGGAACGCGAAATTAATTATGCAAATTAAACTCAATTGCCAGTGCCCAAACTTTATGACAATACACTAAAGGCTTATCAGCGGACTTACCACATCCAGTTTAGACAGTCCGAAAAGACGATCGATGACGTTGTTGAATGGCTCAACGCATTCCTCTTCGTTAAATGCCAACTCAGTCTCTGCTTTGCGAGGCAATCCGACAATCGCAAGGAGACTCATCCACGCATTTCGATTATAATCGACTGAAATAGGAACATTTGCAGTCAAAAACGCCAATAACGGTTCTGCTTCTAGGGAATTTCACTATCCCACCTGCATGGGGATGGCTGAGAGGATAAAGAGCAGTGCAAAAAAAACTCAGTTTCTGCCTGGCCGAGAGTGCCTTCAGCGACAACGAATTCCCGGTGAGTGACGCAATTCTTGAGTCGATAAATGTGGGTTCCAAAAATTTGAGAGCAGTGGCCGAAGTCGCCTTGCCAACCATGGTCACTAGCTGCACTAAACGCCGGCCAAACCGCGACGAATTTTCGGCTCCTGCGACTAGAAGGTCACCTGCTATGTGCAAAGACTCCAACACCAAGGGATTGAGGTAGTCCTGAATTACCGACTGACAAATTACACGGTTATCCCTGCTCTCCTCGATTAGGTGGGTGATGAGGCAAAAGCGAATGTCCTCCAAGACATGACGTGAGTCAGTGTAGAGCCAGAGCAAAATAAGGACACGGTAGAAGGCACTGCAATCAGGCATACAAGCGTTGAAGAGGCATTAAGACATTCTTATCAAAATTTTCACAGACGTACCCTCTTTGTGCGCATGAAAGTTCATTGAGGTGATGTGTAAAGAGAAGATGAATTGATGAAATCAGATAGGAGTGAACTGCAAAAGCAAATAAAACAATGATTGAAGACTGTCGAACGAATCAGATCACTTACCATCTGAAGATGTGGTGAGAAGGAAGCGATCCTTGAGCCACAAGGGAATAGCAGCTTGACCTTCAGGACTGACCTTAAGGCCACTTAGAACAGACCACATGTTTTCTGGAGTCTTGCCCGGTTGGCTAGTGGTCATGAGCCACAAACTTGCTGCTGAGACCGCCTGACTCACAAGGGGCGATACAGGCGCCTCCTGTTTGGCTTCTTGAGCTGCAGTGGCAAGGAGGGGAATGTAGGCCTTCGGAAGCCTCCCACCTAAGAAAGAAATGTTGAATGAGATCTCAATTTGAGAATGAAGGAGACATTAATATGAGCGTCTACTTGATCGACGGGCTTCAGCAAGGAACCGGAAGATTGCCATTTTAACTCGATGTGAGGTCTTATTTGAAAACAGTTTCTCCTGATAAAAGGAAAATACAATGAAGGATTAGAGGCTGCACAATTCCCTACTTCACTAATTGATCCAAGTGAATAGATGTCAACTTTTAAAATTACTAAAATATACTGTACAATCACTCACCTTTATGATAGTTTGAGCCCTCTCGTTAAGTGAGAATTTTGGCAGCTTTAACCACAAGCCCAACTGTTTGAGGACTGATTCGATAATCTCTTCATTATCTGAGTTAAAACAAGCATCAATTACAAAGGAATCTATTGAAAAAGATAGGTTCGAACAAAAACCCACCTTCAGAAACGATTATACTGATAAAACTTCCCAGCACCTCGGAATAGACCTTCGTGTTCCCCATACTCGATCGCGACAGACCGCCGAGAGCGTCAAGGAGCGTCAGTTTCACTTCCAATGACGCACGCCGACCGTCAGAACCGGTGAGTTTGGATAAAACCTATTGAAGTATTTATTCAGTCCTTTCCTGTCACTCTAAATACGTCCGTTTTTGTCTACACCTCACTACTTAGACTCAAGTATGGTTGTTAGAGACAATATTCTTTACATAACACATTTCTAAAACCCTAACCGACCTCTAGAGAGCAAAGCGTAATGTAGCAGTACTGAGACCGAGAAATATGTTAAGCAACTTACTCGATTGTAAATGACGCTAGTGAAGTTATGGGTATCACACAGCTTTGCAAGTGAAACGAGGGAGGAGACACTGGCTTCACGGATGCTTGCGTTGGTAGCGATGAGATTATTAATCAATGGATCGACTATTTCCGGGCCGATTTCATCAACCGTTAGTTCGAGTTCTTTTAGCATCACTTCAAGAACTGCAAAAAACAACTCTGATGAAGATGTGGACCTGAGGCATACTAGGAATGGCTGATTCCGGAGAACGCAGAAGCTTCCGGCCAACGAATGGCAAAAAATCCTTTTTGAAGGAATTCGCATCAATGCAAAAATCCAAGATTCCTCCAGCCTGCTTCTGCAGAATGTACAAGGGAATAAGGCAGACTCAAATGGCACAAGTAGAGTAAATCAGGACACGGACTCACCAGAACACAGGTCGGAAAATTCTTTTTGGAGAAGGCATATTCTAGCAGGGTATTCAGAGTTTTTAGCTACATTGTCAAAAGCTATAGTAAGGCAGTTACCTTATCCACGGACTTCAGGACTTCATCATCCTTTCGGAGAACACAGGCAAGAGAGACGATGGGCAAAATTCTCTCAATATCCTCCAATAAAGGTAGCATTGAAAACGCCATTTCTAATGAAATAGGCGCCTAGAAATTGTGCGACTTAGATGTGGCTTACGTAATTCCATAGTATGCAACACAATTGACGCCCTATGCGATGGTGAATAAGTCGCTTGGAACAGAGCAATTTAGAGACGCAACAAACCCAGAGATCGAACTAATATTTGCTCATAAAGACGAAAGACTAATACCATTTCCTTAAAAACCCCTTGTTCGAATGCGTTATGAACATCTAACTGTTTAAGCAGAAAGGTGAGATATTTCGCTGCAAACACAGTTCGGGAGATAAGACTAGAAGTAGAGAGCTACAAATTGTACCATACCCATCCTTAGGATTAACTTGTGGCAGGTAAAGTTCCACGATATTGGACAACGTCCTTGCCTTATCCCCAGAGAGCGCATGGATAGTACATTCTGCTACCCATGTAAGGTACCTCCTATTATTCAGTATCAGTGGATTTTTTAGGCATTCAAAAAGATTAGACGTGTAAAATTGTACTGAAAATATTCCACTCCCAACAGTCGTCTGGTGAATATAGAATCCTGCTGCCATTCTTCACAACGTTAAACACAAGCACCACGTTCGCACCGAAGCGTGCCCTTATGAATGGCCAACGTGAGATATTCTATAGTGCGCTTAGTCTACTGGCCACTTATAACAACTGCCTTACGACATAAAACTCAACAGCCTCTCCACTTGATGAAAGCTTGTGACCTTATTTTCATTTGCTGAGATTATTTTCTTAATGCCATGCATTGTTTCTGTTGTTGCACTAAATTCAGTCTCCAATTATTCAAACAGTCAATTATTCTAAAATGGGATGTACAACAATAACTATTCTTTAGTCTAACTTATATTCAGAGCAAAAGACAAAATCATGTTGGGCTTCCCTCTCGTCGAACTAATGATTTCTATGGTTTAATGCAAATAACATGCAGCTATGTGAGTCTGTACCGTAGGGCTATGGGAGGAGAGGGATTTTTTATAATGTCAAAGTAACTTCTTTTGTGAATTCGCAAGGCATATATGTCCAAAATTTATCCAGATCTCTTCTATTTGACGCGTCAGAAACATGGGTGGACGTGGTAGTGTTAATACGTCGCCAATTTTAAACCCAGTCTTTCAATAACGTGCACATTGGCGCCGCCTACAAAACTTTTCTAGTTTGACCTTGAGTGACCTAGTTCTTCGCTGTAACTCCAACAACTTGGCTACTCGAATGTGGATTAGCAGACTTATGGGCTTTCCTATTAAAGGGTTGTAAAAAAACGGTCATTTCAATCAATGCATTGCTCACAGTCTGATTCTTTCCGTTTTCGGTGACGTGGCCCCCTAGCTGGAGTTGACTTCCGCAGCGCCTTAGGGAAGGGGGGGGGTTAAGAGTTGCAGCGTTTATGTTGGAAGAAACATAATTTATATGGCCAATCTTCCTCTGTTCAAATGGTTTGGCGTCTTATTAACTTTGCCCAATTATATGTTAAACCGTCTTAGACACATATTAGTACTGCACTTGTCTCTTCTCGTGCATGTCGTTTCATCAAGCTATAAATAGTAGAAATTCTGTACAATGGTAGTGTGGCATTCTTTGCTCATTGTTAATTAAAATTGCCCTTCACATGTACTGAATCTACATGTGGCTGTTGTACTTACGAGACAATTTTCTGACTTTTTGCGAACGAGTAGCAATCGTCTGCTACTGTCTTCACCAATTAGTCTGAATAAGCTGTTGGTTGGTCTTGTAAAACAACTGTAAACACTGCTAAATGCGCTATTTTGTTCCTTATTTAAGGCCTGGTAACGGTCGCGGCCACTGGTTGGTTGTTGTGCCTTCTCCAGGTGGGCTTGACTTTGGGCCATGTTAGCAGCTTGAATTCCTTTCTGCCCGTCGTGTATCCTACGCTTACTTTTGCTCAAATAATCTGCATTTTGCCCAACAAACATAATTGCGTAAATTATACAGTAATTGACTCCTTTCGACTACTAGTTTTGGGCTTTTACTTTGCATATTACTCTTGGATCCTATATAAGCACTAAATTTTCCGCTCTACCGCTTGGACCATTAATAGTACAAAAATGAAGGAACCCAATTAAAACTTGGGTGCAGTGTGCGTTCAGTGTTCGTGAAAATGATCTAAATGTACCTTTTTGCGAGTGTAACTTGCAAGACAACAAATGAATGTTGCATTGGAACTTCGTATACGTTGGAATCTATAAAGCATATCATTTGCAGGATTCAAATAAGTTTTACCTTCTTCTCACTTATTGAGATAATATAAACATTACTCCAAGGCAGAATAAACGCATTCAACGTGCAATATTACTTGCAATTGCTGGCATAGGTCAGAAGTCAGCTAACTCAATCGTCGCACGCAACTCCACTTTAGCCTGCTCCCTAAATTGCATACCTCAAGGTACTCATTGTAGTAAGGAATAGCGTCCCTGTACAAATCGCACTAATGACTGAGTCTCCATAAGATTGAAAAGGTAATTAACCTTAGTAATTCCAATTTCACTGGATCCAAGGGTTGACAGGTTTGCGAACTGAAGCGGGAGGAGGCATTCACTGGTACCTTGTATGTAGCTAACCGACTTCCATCCCGAAGACTGGTAAGGCATTATGCGTTCACCGAAATGAAGTTCATCCAGGCACATTGGCTAGCTCCATAAAGAACACTTGCAGGTGTCGCTTGTGCTGTTAAGAATTGTTTTATGAAACACATATTTTTTTATCTTTCCTATTAGGTATTGTCACTAATTCGCCCGTCGACAGAACGTGCACTTCTCTCGTCACCGTAACATTCATCATCCAATCTTAGAAATCGGGGTAGCTGCCCTCTAAAAAGACGTTTTCTTTCTGCTGGCATGAATGCAGAGCTTGAGAACTTTTCCTAAATACGGAAGAAGCCATGGTACTCTGGCGGATTGTATATTGTCGCCCGACTCAAGGGCCCGTCCTAAAAGAGAGAAGTGAGGCGTATCAATGCATGCATTTATTATTGCTACCAGGACCAAATACCAAGCTACAAGCGACTACATGTGCTGCATTAAATTTATCAAAGCGCGTAACATGCAGGTCAAATGTGTAGCCCACGCTTGCTCAGCATTTTATAAAGATGTGGCAATCAAAAGCTCCTTAATAATTCACAGGAATATCCCATTATCTTTGTATCACAGTACCTTCTACGACGGCTTATGAGGAGTCTTTGAAGTAAGACAGGCCTGGTGCAGGGCCAAAGATGGAGATCCATTGATTCAAACTAAACAAGACACAGGTCAGCAGTGTGGATACGGCACTCAAAGTGAACAGAGCCCATTTTAAGCTATTTTTTGTTGCCTCATGCATTTTGCCACAAAAATTGCAAAGCAATTTGTATCAAAGATGGTTAAGTTGTTGATAATTCCTAAGTTTGTGTTTTTTTCAAGCTTAATATCGAACCTCCAAATAAATTTTGGTAGCAAACTTTCCTATGGTCATCCACAGACACGCACAAAAGCTCATCCCAATCTCGTCACCACCACTAGGGTAGTCTTTCATCATTGTGATGAGTGTATCAGTTTGTTGTCATTCATTAAGAATTTAAGAAATTATTTATTTAGGCGGTGGAAGCATGCATAAAGCCCCACGCATGAGGTGTTTGGCCTGGAAAAAGCACTGAAGAGAGGTCGCCATGGCGACCATCTCCTCTTTGCCCATCCCAGATGCCACTTTTAAGGGTGAACTAAGTAGTGATCTTTTGGGACCTGCAGCGCTGGGCTTTTTGACGAAATTGGCTGTCATTATTTCCACGATAGGGAGATAGACTGTTCTACTGGTTGTGGGTCAAAAAGCTATCAACTTTGACGGCGCTTACCGTAAAATTATGCTTCTCTAGCCAAATGAACTCGCCTTAAAGGGCTGAAGTCTGGGCAGCTAGTGTCTATCCCTATCGAGCCTGTTAAAGCTACTACAATAGACTACCGACAACCTGTCGGACACAGTAAAGAATAGTGGCATTGGGCAAAGCCTTTACGCACAGAACCGACCTCCAAATACGAGGAAGGAAGCGCCGCCCTAACTGCCTGTGTCACGTGAACCAAAAGGCAACACGCGATGGAAAGTGCTCGTATGCCGTATGTAAATAAAGAAGTGGACAGAACTAGTCGTTCACCAAGTAAATGTTTTTAGCAGGAATTTGTGCTCCTATAAAACAGCATTTATTAGTGTGGTCTGTTAAGCACTGCATTTAACCACATAAAACGCCATGACATTTTCAACAGTTGGGCTCCGTTTACCGAAAGTAAGAAAAGCGCAGGTAATAACGCCTAGATGAGTGTTTTTATGTACGCCTAAAAAACTCAAATGCATTAAAATTTAGGTTCATGTTTTTGTCATGAAGTAGGAATTTTGAAAACGAGATTATACAGATCTCGGATTGGTCGCGTATTTGACCAGTGATGCGGAGGCTTTGAAGAGGGTCAAATTGTGTGACCACATTTGCCGCCAAATACGGATGAATTTTACTCAGCTTGTGCGAAGAAATTTAACTTTTTATTATCTTCTCGAATGGACTTTAACAATGAAATTATCCCGAGGAGTTTATTAATATCCTGTGAATTCAGGAGTCTTGAACCTGGTGGCAGGTTTACAACAAATAGTCAAGCTGCAAGGCACGCAAAGAAGTTGGCACAGACATCCTGACCACCGACGGAGAGGCGAAATAGCGAGAGATTGGGAAGGCCACATAAAGTGCTCCCGCATAGTTACGTTCAATTGCCATTCCCTCCCCCCATTGTGCAGGCATTTTAGATGCAACCAAGCCACCCATTCGGATTATTCTCGCGTTAGGTCTTCAAACTAAAATCAAAGCGGTTAGTTTGCGACTTGCAGGTGAAGCCTTCAATTAATTGCGTCATGGCAACTCCGGACCGTTCTTGGAGAAAGGTTTATCCACGTGGCTACCAAGACATTTCTGAGGGCATTTGTAGGCTTTATTGCAAGAATACAAAAGGCCTAGGCTACTGTTAGTAC